TTCTTTCCTTTCCTGAAATCTTGGAACAGTCTAAAGAAACTAGTTACATAGTGTGACATATATCTCACATATGTAATTTTTTCTCTTACAGTGGCTGTAACATCCCGTCCTGATTGCTATTGGGGCCGAAACTGCCGCACTCAGGTGAAGGCCCACCATGCTATGTGAGTGAGATGCCTACCTGCAGGTCTGGGGGTGCAAGGATGGGGCTGAAGTGGGCCTCATGCAGAAAGGCAAGCCCTCAATTTCCTAGTAGGAAGGTCAATTTTTTTTTTTAAGTGTTTTGGGCAAGTTAATGTCTCAGCTTTTAAGGTAAGTTCATGAGCTAGTCAACCATCTCCTTGTAAATATGCTAGTTTAGTCACTATGCTTCTATGAAGTCATGTAGCATATAAAATAGTGTCACCATGTGGAAATTCTGCTCCTCCATATCCCACTTCATCAAAAATGTGCACACAAACACTCCCTCCATCCTCCACCTCGTGTTTCCAGAGCACAGCCTGCCCTTCCCAGCCAACACACTTGAGGTTTAGCACTTTGGGAACCGGTGGCCATGCCCGATGAGCTGTTTCTTCCCTGAGCCAGGGCCCGTGCTGGGTTGTCTGATGCTGTGAGCAGGTGCCTGTGGGGCCTGTAAAGGCCTGCCTGCGGTGACCTCTGCATTACTGTGTGACGTCCCCTGGAGGTGTGAACTTGCTTCTGCTTATGAACCATACATGAGGTGGTGCCGTGAATCAGTCTCATGGACTGATGCTATTTGAGGCCACTGTCATCCCCAACTGGTCATTTGTGTTTTGGTGACAGTAATTGAGAGAGAGTCCCTTAGTAAAAGGGATGTGGTAGGGACTCAGGTAAAGGTGCCCTCGGGATGATTCTGTAGAATAAAAACCTTGCTTTATTTTGAACATAAACACTGTGTGGAAGAGACAGTTTTGTTATGAGCAGAGATTTCACTAGTAATTGGCCATCTTTCTTAAAACATGGGTGGGCACAGCAAAGGCATACCTGTCTTCCCGTGGGGATGCCCAGCCCTTCGCACAGAGGAAGGTAGCCTGAAGTGCTGTGGGATGCTGAAGAGGAGCAATTTTGAGTCCCTTCTCCAAGTAAATTACCTAAAATGTTTGACTTTTATTTTAAAATTTAAAAAGGAAACTACAAGCCTGCTTTTGGGGGCTAGTTTCTTTGATGATATTAAAAATAGTTCTTTGTGACACTCTATAAAGGCACACAGTTGATTTATCCCGTGGTTCTAGTAGGCGATTTCAGTTTGTGTATCGGAATGCTTCTCTGCTGCCCTCTTGTGTAATTTGATTATTTCTTCCCTGTAGGAAATTCAATCATATCTGTGAACAGACAAGGTTCAAGAACTAAGCATTTGGGAGGCATCAAGTTGGCTCAGGCAGCATATTGGAAAACGGAGTGTTTCAGAAAATACCGTATGCCAATGTTGTAAGGGCATTTGAGGCTCCCTTGGGACACTGGCGGGGGATGGGGGTCTCTGCATCCAGCACTCTGGTGTGACTTTCTCTTGGTGGGGTGAGACCCTCTCAGTGAGATGCCCCTAGCAGCCTGGGAGGCCCAGGGTGGCCCACCCACCCTTCTTCTGAGCTCGGCTGCCCACAGAGCTTTGGCCAGAAGAACAGCCGTTAGATATCCCCTTCCCTTGAGATGATGATGTGCAGGTTTGCTCTCATACCTTTCCCACAGCTGTGTTAAAACAGACGTCTCTCTTCAAGAAAAGTTCCATGACAGAAAAAGGAGAGTTTTTTGTGAATATTCTGTTGTTTAAGTAGAAAGGAGCAGACGTTCATAGCCTGTGGGGTGTAGGGTGCCCTGCTTCAGGGAAGCCACAGTGCAGCATCCTGTATGTTTTCATTTTAATAGTTTTGGTGCTTATCTTCTACTAAGATTTAAATATCACAAACTAGCACAGATAATATAACTTATCACTTACAAATTGATTAAAATTGTGGATAGCATCATATTTGAAAGAACATATGTTTCTGTTCATTAAAAAAATCAGATGTCCAGAACTCCTGTAACCCTATACAACCTGACATTAAGTGCACGGCCCCAGGCAAGTGAAAGTTGGGTCACTGCTGCCCCAGGCCTACCACGGAGCAAAGGGCTGGTGGTGTGTGCTCTGCTAGCACAGCTGCAGGACCTGCCCTTGTCCCCACCTTCTTTGTCCCTTCCCTGCAAGGTCCCAAGGTGTGGGTTGGTCCTCGTGGCACCCCAGCCTGCCTGGAGCAGCCTCTTTCCACTGAGAGTATGAGGGGCCTCTGCTTCCACTAGTCCTTGCCCACTCTTCCTGCATTGGGTTTTGCCATGTCATCTGGAATAATACTTGAAATTTTGTTCTTTGTCGAAAAAATCTTTTATCTTTTGTTGAAATCACCTGTTTCGTTTGTTTGCAAAATTGTAACTTCTTGCTTCTTCTCAGGAATACGATTTTGACCGTTGTCTTGCTCTTGATAGAGACTTTTGAGAAGCAGTGCTCTGTTTGTGGAAGGCCTCCTTCCTGGTTCTAATAAACAAGATGTGTCTGTTTCTCTCCCCTGCCTGTTTGTTCAGGTGTTAGCTGCAATGGGCTCTTTCTCATCCTTAGTTAAGTTACCTACTTCTAATCAGAGCTCACCTGGTGGCTCCACTCTTAGGTTAGCCACGTTAGCTGTTGACTGAGCTGGTCCTCCTGCGTGTGACCCAAGGCTGGGGCCCAGGTCTGAGCACTTGAAAAAATGTATAGGTCTCTTGGATCCACCAACCTTGAGGGAGATTGCACTGAAGCCACAGCTTTGTGCAGGAGTGAGGCCTGCCCTCTGTACCTTAGGATGTTGGCTCATGACCCCCTTTCCTCTTTACCTACCCAGGTTCCCAAAAAAGAAAGAACAAACACATGGTCCCTTGGAGGATACATCACCTTTTTAAGCCTGGGTTTCAGCAAAACATTGACTTGAGCTGTGCTGGATCCATCCATGAGGGGAAGGCCATGCCACACCAAACTGCTGGGTCCATGGGCCAACTTTGGTGGAGTTTAGGTTCACCCTTGCTAGTGACTGTATAGGGTAAGAACAGAGCTTTTAGGAGCTTCAGGACCAGGGCAGTTCCCTGGGCTTGACAGCAGAGCTGGGTGGGTGTGCACTCATGCAAGGTTTTCATGACTTCCTATTCCTTTACACCCTCCCCCTGTGCCCCCTCCACCCCACCCCACCCAACAGCCAGCCCGTAGTTGGGTTGGAGCCCTGCTGTGTCTTGGTGGCAAAGGCTGCCTTGGGGTGTCTGGCCACCTTATGCAGAGGGAGACTCCCATGTGCTTGTCTCTGGCTCACTGGGCTTAGCCCCAAAACAGGCCTGAGTCTCCATTGCCTGCTTCACATCCCCCTCACCCAATCTCCATTCCCAGCCTCAGCCTGTCCCTAGACCTGTGTCCATCTTGGCTCCCCAGTGCCCCAGTCAGAAGAGGGGCAAGTCCTTCTACACTTCTCATCTACTGTGTACCCTCTGAAGGTTGTACACTAGCCCTTCCTCGTCTGCAGGTCTGAGCTCTCAAGTCAGCAGTAGATCTTGTGGAGGCTTGATTGGGCTAGCTTGTCAGGACTCCTGGCCCAACCAAGAACCCAGAAAAGCTAACAGGGACAGAATCACAGGCCTAAATCAGAGCAGCAGGATGGCATTGGTGGATTTTGCCCCAGGAAGTGTCTAAACCTTGAGAGTAAATGGAGTGTGAGCTGGGCCTCTACCAATGGGCCCTTGCAGCCCACAGGAAACAGGCCCAGAAAAGCTTGGGTTCTGAATGAGGATTGTTGCTGCAATGTATGCCAACAGCTGAGCCCTAGGAAACTAACCTCTGCTTTGGAGGAGAAAGCCAAAAGGAGTAATTGATCAGATTTAGAAAGCCCAGAGAAGACCCACTTCACATGTCACCGGATACAGTGCTATCCTGAGACCCTTCTCTCTGTTTATGGCGAGCAGCTTCCTAGACCTCAGCTTCCATCAGGCAGAAGTAGGTGAACAGGTGGCTTCCCACAAGTTCAGATGGAAGCTTGTCCCCCACCTCATCACTGACAGGACCTAAGCATCCTACTACCTCCATGACCACTAGCACCCCACAGGCATGTGGGACAGGGCAGGGTCAGTTTCAGGCAAAAGGAAGACCAGTGTTGAGTCTGAAAGACTGGCTGCTGGGCCAGCAAGGCCAGGGCTTAAACCCCACAGATCAGATAGCCCACGCAGACTTAACCCTAATGGGAACTGTGCTGGTGGCAGCCTGGGTGTTGCGCTAGCAGTTCTCAGTTACTCCCCTGGAAGTGCCAGTCCATGTTTGGGGCAGGGACACAAGAGGAGTCACAGCACTTTGCCTGGTGGGATTCTTAGCTCCCTGCAGAATTAGTTCCAGGGTCACTGCACACAGAGTGGGGGAAGTGCACGATACCATTTATAATCACTCCAAAGAAAAATTAGTTATAAACTAAACAAAACATTTACTGGGTCTGTATGCTGAAAATTATAAAATGCTGGTGAAAGAAATGGGGAGACATACCATGTTCAAGGATTGAAAGACAACATAGTAAAGATGTTAATTCTCAAATTGATCTATTGACAATTCTAAAATTTATATAGAAGGACAGTGGCTATAGAATAGCTAGAACAATCAATGAAAAGGTGGGAGGAATCTTAGCCCTCAGAACTGCTTGCTGTAGGGCTACCATTGAGACAGGTGGCCGGACAGATGCAGGAACTAACGGAACAGAGCAAGAACCCAAACACAGACCCACACAGCAGCAACTGATTTTTGACAAACGTACAAAAAGAAAGTTAATGGAGGAAGGACAATCTTTTCAAGTAACCAGTGCTGGAACAATTTGATACACAAAGGGAAAGAAAAACAACCTTCCCCTGACCCTCACGCTCTCTGCCGACAGTATTTATTTTTATGGAAAAGTAAAGCATTGCTTCAGTTCCAAAGTTGCATTCGCACCTGAAAGGTAAGGGCGGGCGGCTGAAGGTGTGGGGTGGGGCCCGCGAGCTCCTTGCTGCTGCACGGACCCCCTCGCTCCTTTCCTGGCCACGCCCCAATCTGGCGTGGTGGCGTGACCACGCCCGTAGTTTGACAGATGCGAGGGGACGAACCTCAGTCCCCGCGCGTTACTTCCGCCGGAAGCCCAATTCTCCAGCTTCCGGTCGGAGTTCGTCCTTCGAGTCCGGAAGTTGAGTTTCTACCAGAGAAAGAACCCCAAGCTCGCTTTCTGAAAGCTGCTTCGGGATACTCGTGAGTGGGCTCGATCCCAGCCCGGCGGTCGGAGCAGACCCGGCTCGAGGGCCGCCTCTGGCCAGCAGAAGAGGACGTTCTGTCTTCCGGAACAGAGGCAGCGCTCACAGCCTGTTTCCCGGGGATCAAGGCGCAGCGCCCCGCCCCTCTCGTGGCCACGTCTCCGCCAGAGCAGTCTGACCCGGCGGCCCCCGCGGTTTTCTCATCGCTGGAGCGAGGGTCCCGGAGAGGTGTCCGCGCCAGGTATCCTGCCCGGTAGGGCGCGGGGCCGCGGGGCGGAAGCGGGCGGCGGGCCTGGGCTGTCGCGGAAGCCAGCCGCGTCTCCGCCTGGGCGGCGACGCCCCACTCCCGTCCCGCTCCCCTCCGTCGGTAGCCGCGAGGCTGGAGGCCGACCTGCGCAGCTGTTAGCGGACCTGGCTTCATAAATATCCACACACCGCGCCCTTGGAGCGCTGCCCACGCTTAAACTCCCGGGCAGCGCGTGAGTAACAGCTCTTGTCTTTTTGCAGAAGTTCTGTCAGGATGACAAATGTGACACGGTGTCGGGTGGTTATCTGGAAGCCGGCTTTAAAGAATCCGTGCAGCTGTTTGCCTCTCCGTCCACCTCGATTCCATCTTGATTCTGGATGCTTGGAGGTGTTCACGGTGCAGTGATATTTTCCAGAGAGATTGTGGCTCGGCATTATCACTAGTATGAAGCAAGTGAACAGCCCAGCCATTATTCAACAAATATTTGTTGAGTGATAGTCGGGTGACAAGCACTGTTTATTGTAGGTTCTGGGATACGGGGTGAAGACCTGTCAGGGCCCCTTTCCTCACTGAGCTCACGTTCTAGTGGAGGGATACAGATGGTTAATGAAGTAACTGCTGAGAGAGAACTGGGTGGTGCTTGGGGTGGGTCTGTAGTGGGAGGTGACTTCTGAGCCAAGGCCTCGATGACAAGAAGCTACCTATGCATAATTGTGGGGTAAGAGTTTTCAGGCAGAATGAACAGCTAGTATGAAGATTCTGAGAATAGTAAGTTTGGTTTTTTTGCATAGAGAAGTATGGCAAGGGTGTAATGAAAAAGGAAAGTGGTAGGAGACAAGGAAGCAATCTAGGGTGGGGCTAGTATGCAGCTTCCTAGCTTATGGTCAGAGGCTTGTGTTTTATTGTCAGTGTATTTGAAAACCACTGGGACATTGTAAGCCATTTACTGGTAACTCATGCATTATATATATTAAGTTTTTAAGTTGTCCCTTTAATATTGCAAACCTAATCCTTTACTGTGATAGCTTAAAGTAATAGCTTTCAGTTACACTGTACATTGAATGGCAAGAAAAGGAAATAAAAATCATCTGACATTAACCAGATGTAAAAGTAACCTCTCTTTTTTTTTTTGGCCAGTTGCCTTAAGCAGCAGTATGCTTTCTTAAGTAAGAATATCTTTGGTTGCCTTTCCCTATCAATTGTAACAACAGTTGAAGGGAGGATAAAATAATAATAGCTACCATTTATTCAGGGCATGTTGACACACCCATGCCTTGTTGCATTTAATCCTGGCAAAATCTTGCTTTTTTCTTTTTTTAAAAAAATTGTTATTAAGGTATTATTGATATACACTCTTACGAAGTTTTCACATGAAAAAACAATGTGGTTACTACATTTACCCATATTATCAAGTCCCCACCCATACCCCAATGCAGTTACTATCCATCGCTATAGTAAGATTTTGGTCTTTTTCTAATCATCTTACTGATGAGCTAAATGGCTATGAGTCGTAAGAAATTGACTTATGATCTCAGAGCTGAGGGTGGAGTGAGGAGTTGATGCTGAGATTTCTGACTCTTCACAGTTCCTGGATGCCAGCATGAGGCTTGTCAGCGTTTTCACTTTGTAGATAGGTCTCTGTTTACTTTTTGTTACTAATGTGGCCTTAACTAGAAGTTATCTTTTTAAGGAAATCCTGTTTGGCTTTTGGCCATGCTCTGTTGTTTCTGATTGCCAGTGGGAGCAACTTAAATAAGGTGGGGTAGAAGTTGCTGTTAATACATATACAATGAACTTATGTAATCTGCTGTATGGGTGAAGCTGGAAAACAGGTGCCTGAGTTGGTGGTTTCTCAGTGTGAAGTCCCATGATGTCAGACAGAAGTGAACTTAGTCTTATGAACTCTGGTAAGTTCCAAGTGATAGCCTTCCCCCGTCTCTTCTATCTAGAAACACAGAAGAATACAGGTGGTGAGAATGGTACTGTAGTAAGATGAATCCCTTTATTTCTAAATCATGAAATGGAGTGTGTGTTACAAATAACAGCTTTCTTGTGATATGCTCTCAGCTACCTGACCTTCCTCCTTGTCCTGTTTTTGTAAGCAGTCTGAGGTAATGAGGCCCTGAATGACTGAGTCATGCTAAGTAAAACTCACCTGAGCATAGACAGAGAATGCCAGTTTATTGCCTATAGAAGTGTCACTTCACCAGAGGCCTCTTCGGGCATTCAGTGAATTCTGTCTGTTGTCCAGCTTCAGAAAGAGCTGCTTGTGAGCAGGAACCATCTTCATGACTTACCAGAATAAGTCACAGTCCCGTGATCTCATAATCCGGAGGGCCACACCACCCATCTCTGGTTGGACTTCTTGGGAGTTAGATGCTTTGTGTTTAGCAGGAAATCCACATAAAGGGAGGTAACTGAGTGGAATGTGTGATGTCATTGGGCTCAGGCCACCTGATGCACTCGTCCTGTATTTGCTGTGCCTTCTTCAGTGAATCAAACACCTCAGCCAATGTTCCTTCTTCCTGGACAGCATCAGGCTCAGGTGTTGTCACCCAGGGCCCCAGGAGCACATTTTTCTCTACGGCTCTCTTTTCTGGTTGGCATGTTCTATTTTTAATAGGTAAGTCTTGTCCTGATTTTCCTTTTCATCAAGGTGACAATTGATTGGGCTGTGACCATTACCCCTCTCCCAGTTTATAACTCCCAGGGGCATTCTTTGTCCCTCACTGGAACTATAGCTCCCAAGTATTCTTAAGAGTTTTCTGTATTTGATAAGGCAGTATTGACGCTCAGGGATTCAAATGCTGTATCATTTTGTTTTGGAGCACTTGTTTGGTCCCTGAGGGGTGGAACTCAGTGAAGCCAAAGATTTAAGTCAGTAGCTTCCATTGAGCACCACTCTGAGTAGGGACATTTCAAGGGTAGGGGCAGACTTGGAGTGGTGGTTTCTGCTTGCAAAGGTCTTACAGCATGATGGAGGGCACACACACAAGTACAGGGATATCATGATAGCAGAAGGGAGTGGGCCAGGTGCTTTACCTGAAGCCCAGAAAAGGCTTCATACAGTGCCTCCTGGTAGATGTGGAAAGACCCATGGGAATTTGCCTGGTGGTTTAGGGGAGAAAGGCATCCACAGCAGAGAAACATCTGCTTCTTCCTGAGAAGTATCCATCACTGTCACCCTTTCAGTCATTGTGGTGAGCACAAGGGTGATTTAGACATCTTCAACCCCACTGCCACCCCGACATGCACATAAGGCAGAAACAAAGATACTTCAAAGCGACATGCAGGGTGACCAGCTCATGCAGCATACCATATGCAGGACAGTGGGTCCCATGTTCCACCATGTTTGTCCCTATACATCCGTCTGTAATCTGTCCTTGAAATGGTGAGCTGGCAAGGCAGCCACCCTTGTGCTGATGTGCCTTGCCTTGCTTTGTGCACGTATTCTCTACAGCATCACATCTGGCCTTGACTGGCTTACCACCAGCTTTTTCCAAGAAGAGTGAGTGTCACTGAGAAGCAGGTGTGGTGGGTGTTACAGTGCTTTTGGAGCCAGGACCCTGTGAAACTGTGGTTTTCAGAGATCTGGGGGATGTGCATGGACAGGTGTGGAACCTGTCTGTCTGCTTCAACCTGGAGAGTCTCTCCAGGGATAAAAGAAGTTACTGATTGTGGTAGACAAAAATGAGTTTGAGAACTCGTTGTCCACAGGGTCATGTTTGGCCAGCTTCAGTGACTCCCTTCATTCCTCTGATTCAGATGTCTCAGTGTTCAGATCTTTACATGAGCCAGGCGCTGTGAGCCAGACTGGCACCCAGGGCTTCCGACTGGCTACACTGGATTGTTGCTACTCACCTGTCAACAGTTTTCTAGTAAAACCTAGTGCTAATTTTACCCTTGATAGTAGATACAACTGTTTATATTCTTAATAGCACTCTTATTAACCCACAGCATTTTAGGGTACCAGACAGCAGAGAGGATGTGTGCATTAAGAGCTGCAAGCCAAACACTCCTGGGTTTGCACAGAGGGACACTCCTGTCACTAGTCATTCACTGCATGGGTAGACCAGGCTGTGCCAACCCCCAGTGGGTGTTTGTCCACAGGTGACAGGATGAGAGCTTTATGGGAAAATAGGCACCCTGCTTCCTCTGTGATCAAGTCAGCGCCAGTCCTCCTTGTGAGGGCCGCTGCCTTGGCTCATATCTGAAATGTCTGTATGGGGTTTGCAAGCTGGAGAGGAAAACCATGTATATTTTATCCTGAAACATGGAATACAACAGCCTCTAGGATAGTGGGAAACTTATTTTAAAGGAAGTAGATGCCAACATTTCTGCAGAATGAATAATGGCTCACATCTCATCTGTTGATGAGGAAACAAGTTGATCATATTCTCAGTATACTTCAAAAGTGGTAACCAATTGCCAAACTTTGGGCATAGTTTTGCTCCCTTAGGCTTAGCCTGCAGAATGGGCTGAAAGATAGCTGGTCCTGCTTTAAATGGACATGGGATGGATATCTGCCGTGAGCTGCTTTCTCTGGCTGTTGTCCCATGGATGGCTGCCCTTCCATGTGTCCTCATCTTCCTCTGTTCCCCTGATGCATTGGACAGTCAGTACCTTCCATGCAGTTGCTGCTTCAACCATCACACTTGCCCTGTGAGCACTTAGGCCTGCATGTGCAGCACAGAAGCCACTGGCTGAATGTGGCTGTTTACATTCACATTAAAAAAGTTCAGTTTCTCCGTCTCCCTAGCCATACCCCCAGCTCAGGGGCCACTTGTGATGGTTACAGTGCCGATTCTGGAGCTTCCCCCTCCCAGCAGAACAGGCTTTGGCCAGCACAGATACAGATATTAAGTGCCTCAGGAAGTGAGGCCAAGGTGAGGCCAGTTAAACATTTTATCCTAAAAACCCAGGATATAATAGGTATCCAAAGATTATTTATTTAATGAAGAATAAATATTTGTTTATATATAGATGCAAATTGGGAGGCAAAGGTTTACCTTGGAATTACTGCTACAAATCTGACGAATGAAGTTTCATAACACCTATCTCTTCCCTCTTATCAGGTATCATGATATTACTTGGTTTGATTTCAAGCCACTTATGAGACTTTAAATCTCCCGAAAATGGAAAGCCTAGTGCTGTCCCTCCCAGGACCTCTTGGCTGTTGCTGATGGCATAACCTGAACTTGAGAGCAGTTCACTTGGAGCCCCTGAGTGTCAGCCCAGCCATGGACGGTGCATCAGCCATGCAGGATGGCCTTTTGGAGGATGGGTTCAACCATGGTACCTCAGCTCTCCCTGAGGTCCTCCCGAAGGTTCCAGGCCCACTGGCGCTGCCTGACCAGTGGGACAATGAAGCCCAGAGTAAGTCACCTATTCCTCTGCATGCCACTGACATTTGCCTTTAGACAGGAGGACGCAGGTCAGCGTGCATCATAGAGAAAGACTGGTGTTTAAGACAGAAACAAACTTTGCTTCATTCAAGGTGTGTTTCTAGTAATCAGATGAATGTTCTTTCTTAGTTGATGCCAACTTTCAATCAAGTACCAGTGTGTTAAGCAGAAGAGCCATTGGCCCAGTTATGCTCCTCTACGACAGAATGGCATCGCTTTCCCTTGAGGTTTCTGTGGGTCTTCCCTGACACATTATTACTCCCTGTCTAACAGACTACCTTTTTGGTTGGGGGTTGCCAGAATTTTACTAACTGGGACTCAGAAATGGGTGGTGATGATCTAATGATTATTGGGTCACATTTGCATGTTAGGTGATGGGTTATTCATGCATCAGAAGTACAGTTAATTAGTAACTCTGTTTCCATGCCCTTTCCTGGTCAGGAGGGACAGTGCAAGTGTGTCCATGAAAATCGTGGTGTATATATGTACTGATTGACTAGCATTTTGGTTCTTGGAAAACAATATTCAGGCACCTAAAATGGCTTTGCTGATTATTACTTCTTAAATGCCAGATGAGGCCCATAGCAGCACAGGCCCAAGACCAAGGATTCGATAGCAGGACAGACAAGGACAGCCCTTAGATCTGCCACGAAGAGCAATGAGCCCTTGAGCTGGATCCTGTCTCACTGTGTTGTGTAAGTGGGAGATTAACAGCATTCCAGGGTAGTCACAAAGGCTGGTGCATGAAGCACCACCTCTGGGGAATGTCAGGAAGTGATGGTGCCTGGATTGTCCTTGTCTCAGTAGCATCATTTCTTGTTATCCATAATTAGGCTTGTGTTTGGAAACAGTGAAGTCTTAACTGTGTGCTGGGCCTTCTTACTGAATGTAGTACAATGCTCAAAAATTACTTTGTCATGTAAACAGGAAGGTTTAGAGATGCTCCCAGATCTTAAGCCCATCAGAAAGTGGTGTTGACCTGTTTAACGAGTGTCTGAAATGCAGGACCTCCCCGCCCTGCAGTGGAGCTGAAGAGGTCCTTGATATGAGAGCAGACAGTCTTGTCTGCCTGTGGCCTGGTCCCCTTGTTTGTGTTCAGGTTTTCCTTTCAGGGAGGCATGGCAGCAAGTAGCTATATTAGTTGGCACTTGCATTTCAAGTGACAGAACCCATTTGAATTTGCTTGAGCAGGAAGGATTTCTCCTGGATGCATACATACTGGTACATCATGGGATCCAAGTGATGCCGATCCTGGAGGGGTTGGAGCATTCCTGTGCTCAAAAACTACCAGAGCCACCCCTGGAAATCCCTGGACCCTCCTTCCTCCCTCAGTGTGCCACCTTGGTTCCTTGACTGCCAGCTGGCTGGCCCAGCACAGTGAGGAGCAGAGAAAAGTCTAAGAATCATATATTGTAGGAAGGCTTTTTTCCTCTTTACCTTGTGATAAGCAAATAGGTCTCGGAGAGTGTATAAATAAGTCTGTGTATTGTAATGTTAGCAGGTGAAACTGAGCTTGATGCGTGAATATGTGGTTATCACTGGCCAGACTTGGCTTTTCTGCAAGTACTCATCAGCAGAAGCACAGACTCAGTTCTGTGCTCAGCTTTGACATAATTGTACTCATCAGCTGGTCTATCTCTTTGCCTGATTTCTCATTTTGGAGGATTGGATATGCTTGAAATGGCTTCAGAACCAGCCCTTTGTAAATGTGAGGCTGACCCTGATTAGCAATGCTGTTACCAGTGCTTGTTAGAAACAGTCAGCTATGTTTTAAACATTTGTTTTCTTTGCTATTTTTTATGACTTTTTTTTTTTATTAAGGTATCATCAATATACAATCTTATGAAGGTTTCACATGTACAACATCATGGTTTCAACATTCACCCATATTACCAAGTCCCCTGCCACATCCCATTGCAGTCACTGTCTATAAGCATAGTAAGATTTTTTGCTATTTTTTAAAAACAGACTTTCATAAGATTTCTCATTGGTTTCATTTAAATTAAAAGGAAACATTACTACTAAAATTCTACAACCACAGGGTGGAAGGTGAGGGCATACCATAGAGGAGGATATCGGGTCTCAAGAGGTTTAGGGACTTGTCCTGTGTCACCGCCCCCCATCCTGGGAGTGACAAGGCTGCTCCCCTCTCAGTGTGAACAGATGTGTAGGTTGTGAGGATGGCATGCTCATGCTTCTGGAGTCTCTTGTCAGCTATGTGAGTGAAAAATGATTGGATGCAGTTGGGGCTGCTAAGGCCCAGCACAGTCTTTTTTGCAGGCTCCAGCGGCGAGGGACACAGAACTTCCAGCGAAGGGGAATGTCTGCATGTACCTAACACGGAGGACACCTGTCCAAATGGGTTGACATCACAGTTCCCAGACCCTCCATCATCCCTCAGGCCCACCACAAGTCCAGTGGGTCCTGATGCTTCTCCAGGTGTGGCTGGTTTCCATGACAACCTAAGGAAGTCTCAGGGGACTAGTGCTGAGGGCAGTGTTAGAAACGAAGCTTTGCAGTCTCTCAGACTCAGTCTTCCCATGCAGGAAACGCAACTGTGTAAGCATCCGTTCCCGCCGGGCTCTTCCTGCTCCTCACCTTTGTCCTGTGTCCCTGTTGCTCACTGCACATGCCCTGACCAGCACTGATGGTCCCTCTGCCATTTGCTATTTCATTGCTGTGGTGGGTTGTGCACTTAACACATACCTCCATTTTAGAGAGAAACACTTCCTCGTGGTCCAGTGTGGATGATGGTGCTCCAGGTCCATATTTTAAGGGCCTGTGCATGTGTATCTTGCTTCACCGTGGATAGTGAGCATGCACTCAGTGGGGGACACTACTTATGCTAAGGCTTTCTTTTATTAATTATTTTAATCAACATTTATTTTGTTCTGATCCCCGGGGTTCAGGGGTGAACACAACACACACTGGCAGTCTGTGAGCCCTTAAAACCCCCAGGCCTTTTCCTAATGCCCGTTTGTTCATGCATAGACATGTATGATTTTACATGCTGGAATCATGTCACACATGCTGCCTTATGCCTCTGCCTTCCCCCTTCCCTCCCAGTAAGCCACATTCTGTGATCCTTCCCAGGCCTCTGTAAGCAGCCATATTTTGGTCACTTTTTTAAAATGGGATTATATTGTTCACATTATTGCATGTTTTTCTCCCTTAGCATTGTCATGTGGAGATCGCTCCATATCGCCTGATGCAGCCCCACATCCAGTCTCTTAAGGCTGGTCAGGAGCCCTGTGTGGCTGGGTGTAGGGTCTGCAGTGGTTCTGTTGGCCACAGTGACTAATACTGCAGTGAGTGCCTCGGTGCTCATGTCTGTAGGACATGTTTTAACTTCTGTGGGTTACATCTCAGAAGCGAAGCCTTGGTCAAAAGCAGCAGGCATCTTTATGCCTATCATGCGTGATCAGATTGCCATGCCACTTGCAACCCTTGAGGAGACCTTGGTTCCCCACTCCAGCAAGCACACAGACTGTTTCTTTTCAGTTTTTACAGGCCTTGTGGGTGTGCCGTGATGCTTTTTTGTTACTTTAATTTTCAGCTGCACTTCCCTGATTACTAGAGGCTTTGAGACTCTGTTGGCCATTTGTCCATTCTTTTCTGTGAATTGTTCATATATTTGGCCCATTTTTCTTTTGGATTATTTGCCTTTTTCTTCACAGGCATTGTTTTGCTAGGTCTGCAGTATGTTTTAGAAATTTCTGTAAACTAATTCTCAACATTTAAATCAAGATAGATCATGTAAAGTCTAGCCTCCTGATCTGAGGGATTTGTGAGCTCTGACCCCAGATGCCCACATGGCAGCAACCTGTGGCCACCAACTGCCCCTCCTGGAGAGTGTTTGCCCATCACCCTGACCTTGAGGCTGTTTTGAGTTCACTGAGTTGGGCTTCCTGCTTGAGGCTGTAGGCCCCTGGGTTCCAGCTGCCTGTTTCATCAGCCTGTGAAACGTACTAGAGTTCTTTTCATTGATGAATAAGCAAATTAGTAATGACTGTGAGTTCCTACTGACATTCTTGGTGACTACTACAGTTTTAGGGATTATTTAAAACAGCAGCTGCTTACCTGCTCAGAATCCACATCTGAAGACGGTGTCATCCATAAAATAGACAGATTAGATGACAGTCATCTGTTCTCATCACGTCTTAGCTGACCCCACCTCGGCCCTCGGCCGCATTCCATAGCATGTCTCCTTTACATGAAAGAAACCAGTGACTGTTCATTCCCATTCACTGTTTAGCCCTTTATCATCCAAAATAAAACGTTTGGGTTTTAGATATTTTAAATTCTGTAATTGGCCAAAAAGTTATGATTTCCCCTCCTGTCTTTGAGCGTAACCCTGGGACTGAAGTTGGTTCTGTCAGAAAACTGAGGTAAGTGGCCCTAGGCCTCAGGGTTACCTGCTTGGCCTTCACTCCAAAGTGTGCTCTGAGTGGGTCCCTGTGAGCAGCTTTATTCCTTCATGAATAACATCTGAGTACCGCTTGTGTGAGTACTCTTGATTTTCCAAAACATTTCTGTGCACGACCTGTGATTGCAGGGATTTAGATGAGCCACAGGTCAGATTATATGCCCAGATGTAACTGCATGAGGAAAGCATGTCTGGTGTCAGGAGACTACATGGTAGGCGTGTTCCTGTCTCCTCGCTGGTGTAGTGTCATCGAGCTGTTCTTCGTGCTCCTCTGTAACAGCGCACAGCAGAGCACAGGTAGGACTCCATGAGAGCTGAGGGCCTCTGGGCCTCAGAGTGCTCAGCACTGCCACCAACATTAAATTCAGTCCTTTTGCTGCTACAAGACACAAGAGCCCACATCCTCCTCTGCCAGGAGGTTGCCTGTAGGCAGCGATGTCCTTGAGGCGTATACACAGACCGTGAGCTTGCTTGGCCAGCATGTCTTCTGCCAGGTAGTTCCTGTCTGTGGTCAGTGTCCTGGGCTCACAGTTTTTCTTTATCTGGAAATAGTCCTTTCGAACTAGATGGCCATGCTTTGTTTGCAAGTCATACTGGTAATTAAATGCAGAGTATCCCAGCTGCTGTTCTGATTTGTTCTCTGTGCCCTAGCGCTTATGAGTTTCCAAATGGCCATTTCCCCACCACAGGCTCAACAGAGGCTTCACTGTCTCTGGAGAAGGAGGAGCAGGTCCGACTTCAAGCTCGGAAACGGCTGGAAGAGCAGCTGAAACAGTATAGGGTGAAGCGTCATCAGGAAAGAGTGAGTCTCCCTCTCTTGAACAAGTTAATGGAAAACTTCATGCTTAAAGACCAGTAATTAGTCAGTGTAATTCTAAGATCTGTTTATTTCTTGCTGGGATGGTTTCTGTGCGTCTCTGGGAAGACCATTTCTTTCATATAGTTTTCCTCTTTGGAGAAATTATAGCAGGACTCTCGTTGCTGTCCTGCCTGGTCCTGTTTCCCTTATAACAAGAGCATTTTGCTCCTTTCTTTATCTGCCCTTTGGAAGCAGAGAGAGCAGCCCCTTCAGTATCATTGCTCTCCATACCTGAGCAGCAAGCCCAGGCCTCAGTTGGTCACTTTATGAGCCACACAGTCTTTCCTCAACTTTTTCATGCAATGTTAGAATGTGCACCACACCACATGTACTTAAGAAGGATGTCCATGTGATATGCTAAAATCAGTTTTTTTCAAGTATAGAACTCTTGTTAAGGTGCTAACGAAAGCAGACTTTTTAGTCACATAAACTGACCCTAGGCAAAGGGGTCTGAAGATGGATTTCACATTTCATTTAGTTTTTCTGTGGACTTGAAAAATTCAAAGATTTTAAAATTACAATTTAACTTTTAAAAATGTTTTCAGTGAATGATTTAATAATGATGAGTCCCCATCAGGGTTGGCCATTTTTATGTTCCCAAAGGGAACCATGGCTCTGTGGGTGTTGCTGCTCCAAAGCCAATGTAAATGGCCTGGAGGAGCTGGCACCAGGTTGTGAGCTAACAGAGGTTCCTGGGGTCTATCCAGATGGCCCACCAGAAAATGTTAGAGTGATGGTTAGTAATCATTAATTACTATGTGCTAGACATGGTGTTAAATTCTCCATGGACTTCGTATAATACAAATGTTAAAACAATCATGTGAAACAAGTAACATTTTGGAAGAGGAAACTGAGGCTTAGATGGGTAAGGAAATTACTGGAGGTCACTCAGCAGTAAAGTGGCAGAGTCAAGATGTGGACCAGACAGCATCCACATGGCATGGTCTGTCCACGCACTGCCTCCCAGAGGCTGCACCACCCAACATTAGGCAATTAATGTGTCAGGATTTCAATATAAAATGTCAATTGTGGAAGCATTATTTCACATCTTAAAAAATTACATTATGTGTATATAAAACTGTTATTTTAAGTGGAAGGGTGCTCCCTTAGTCCACGGTAAGATGACTTCCTCTCAAACTGATGGAAGCACAGTGCATCATGCCACCTTATTGTGATGCTTCTTAAATCTCTAAAAATCCCACCTGTACTTGGGCTGAGTTCTGGGCTGCATGCTGTGTCACTAGCCTGTCTGCTGATTTTCTGGTTCTGAGTGGATCTAATTACTGTAGCTTGGAGGCATATGTTGGTATTTGGAGGGTCCAGTCCATTCACTACCCCACAACACTTACTTTTTTCTAGGGATTCTTCCCCATTCTCTCTCCTAGCTGCACCCCAGCACCACTTTGTGATGATTCTGTTGGGATTGTACTGACTTTGTAGAATCACATAAGATTGAATGACTGTCTGTGCATAAGAGCCATGTTGACGAGTAGTGTCTCCTTCATTCAGCCCCAGCTTATTCAAGGCCATTTGGGAAATACTAGCTAACGTGATAAAATATAAGAAAAAGAAGTAAGAGAATCAAATATTGAAAAAGAGGAGGAACGTTACTGTTGATTTGCAGGTATTGGTAATGTCTTAGGAGACTACAGAACCAACCAAAAAAAATGTATTTTTATAAAAACAAAATCATTTAAATAGGGTTCAGAAAATTGTCAATTTAAAATACAAATATGAAAAATCAATAGTTGTCCGAACATGTCCAATTATAAAATGATGGGGAAAGGTAATATTTATAATAACAACAAAATGATAAAATATCTAGGAGTTAAAATGGCAGTAAAAGAGCTGGAGAACCTGGAAAAACACTATACAACTTCCTTTGCAGACAGGGAGACAGTTCATTATCCTCTAAGTAACTGTAAATTTAAGATAGATGGAACTCAACAGAACTTTTTTTCTAACTTGTAGAAAATTTTCAAGTTTACCTGGGGATAAACATGGGAGAATAGCCAGGAAAACTTTGTAAAGGAGGTATGGTGAGGAAGTACTTGCCCTAATCAATGTTCTAAAATATTATCAAGTCAAAGTTATTAAAGGCTTGTGCTTTGACTGGTCAGTTAAAACATGACCCGGAGGTGGTATCCCTGTGAAGGGTAGAAGTCTGGCAGAACTGGTGCAGTGGGAGGGAGCTCTCTTTATCTGTGGAATATAATTGGTTCAGCCTTTCCAGATGGCAGGTTTTAAATGGTGCTTGTCATTTTCCAAAATAATTTTTACTTTTGTTTCCTTCTTAGTCCAGTCAACCTGCAACTAAAACAAGACTTTTTAGCACACTTGATCCTGAGCTCATGTTGAACCCAGAGACCTTACCAAGGGCCAGTACTGTGGCTATGACAAAGGAATATTCCTTCCTGCGCACTAGTGTTCCTCGGGGGCCAAAGGTGGGCAGCTTAGGGCTCCTAGCACAGCCTAAGGAGAAACAGAGTTCCAAATCAAGCAAGATTCGGTCTCTGGCTGATTACAGAACTGAAGACTCAGATACTGGGAATTCTGGTCGAACTGTTCCAGCTGCAGACTCTGCCAGGGCATCCCTGAAGCAGAACCGAAACAGTGTGATATCAGTGGTGTCTGAGGTCAGCCTGTGTCCTGAGGCCGATGACCGCCTGGAGATCGCATCCCTGATGGGGGACAATGTGTCTGAGGCTGATGAGAACGAGAGCGACAGCTCCTCCTATAGCAGCATCTCCACCCGTGGGGCGCGTGGACTTTTGGCAAATACCATGGACATGCGTGAAGCCACCTACGTGGTCAATGGCCAGGAGATTGCTGCTAGTGCCCTGGGCCAGTTCCCCTCCATCACAGATGTCCTCCAGGCTGCAGCAGCCGAACAGCAAGACCAGGGCCAGCAGGTCAACGGGGAGACACGGAGCCGGACAGACAGCATCTGCAGCAGGTGGGACAGCTGCGGCCAGTATGGTTTCTCCTGATTCCAGCCTCAGTCTGCAGCATTTCATTTATACACAACTCTATTGCTTTGTAAGAAATGGAATTAGAGCTAATCAGTAATAGTCTGCAATATAAAGATATCCTATATTCCAGTGTTCCAGTATTTAGCTATTCCTGCAACTGCAAAGATACTTACCTGGACTCTCATTTCCATAAAGTGAGTCTGACCACTTGGTGGCTGAACATGCCCAGCTGTGGGTGGGAGTGTTTCTTGGTAGCACTTTAGCTCTTCACTTAAATCTTCCTATTTATTTTTTAAAACTTGGGGTGTGTAGCAGGAGTGCATGAAATGTGGGGAACATGGACTAGTGTAGGGACCCCACTGCTTGACCCTTGTGCCTTCTTCCTCCAGCGCATCCATGGAGAGCTCTGCTGCTGAAGCTCATGATGAAATGCTGCAGGTCCTTAAGGAGAAAACGAGACTAGAGGGACAGCTAGAGGCATTAACGCTGGAGGCGGGTCAGGTAATGGAGGCCTGACAGTGTGTTTGTGCACCGTGTCAGAAAAGAATGTGCGACTGTACGATTCCTATTCATTGGGTACCAGCCTTTGTGTGTGTTTAAGAATGAGCTTTGTGGTCAGTGGTAGCAACTGCCAAGTCTTCCTTGGGCTCAGATATTTGTTTCCTTGGTTTGTCAGCCTCAAAAAGAGGCGTGAGTGTTCTGCTCTAACCGCACGACTCAGTTTCTCCCTGTGTCTCCAGCAGGGGCTGCCAAGACTTTCCTGGCTCTGCTGTTGGATACCTAGCAATCCATAATGGTTCAATTCTTAGCATGGATTTCACTTTTTCTGGCATGGTAAAATGGTCATCTTTGCCCCTTTAATACCTTTGACTGTGGATTCTGCTTTTTCAGATGTGAAGTTTGCTTTATCTGGTTAGTGTAAAAATGCTGAATGATAAAATGCCTGAAAATCATTTTCCATCCCTTCCTTACTTTTGAGATTTCCTATCCTCAATTAGAGTAAATCAGTTCAGTTAAATTTGACTCCATGCTATGGAGAGCAGCAGACACACACAGGCACACAGGTGTGACACCACAGCCTGGAGGGAGGGTGTGCTCATGTACGGTGTAGGGGAGCCACTCAGGCTGAGAACAGCTTGCTGTGCCCAATATACTTTCATGTCTGACATGGTTTTTTTGTACAGTCCTAGGGCACAGACCAGTGCTTTGTGTACATAACACTATGTCAACTGAAGAGGTGATTGTGAAATTTCAAGGTTAAGTTCAGTTGCACACAATTCTCACCCCATCCCATTTGGGAATATAACCTCATCAACTGCATTGTCACTTTATCTGAATGTCCGACCCCGTGAACCAGCTAAAAACCTGAGCTTGCATCCCATGCTCTTAGGTAGGAAGAATTAATATTGTCAAAATGGCCATCCTGCCTAAAGCAATCTACAGATTCAGTGTAATCCCTATCAAACTACCAACAGCATTCTTTAACAAACTGGAACAAATAGTTCTAAAATTCATATGGAACCACAAAAGACCCCGAATAGCCAAATCAGTCCTGAGAAGGAAGAATAAAGCTGGGGGGATCTCACTTCCCAACTTCAAGCTCTACTACAAAGCCACAGTAATCAAGACAATTTGGTACTGGCACGAGAACAGACTCATAGACCAGTGGAACAGAATAGAGAGTCCAGATATTAATCCAAGCATATATGGTCAATTAATATTGATAAAGGAGCCATGGACATACAATGGGGAAATGACAGCCTCTTCAACAGCTGCTGTTGGCAAAACTGGACAGCTACATGTAAGAGAATGAAACTGGGTTACTGTCTAACTCCATACACAAAAGTAAACTCAAAGTGGATCGAAGACATGAATGTAAGTCATAAAACCATAACACTCTTAGAAGTAAACATAGGAAAAACTCTTGAATATAAACATGAACAACTTCTTCATGAAGATATCTCCATGAGCAAGGGGAAAAAAAGCAAAAATGAGCAAGTGGGACTATATCAAGCTGAAAAGCTTCTGTACAGCAAAGGACACCACCAGTAGAACAAAAAGGCATCCTACAGTATGGGAGAATATATTCTTAAAAGACATCCAATAAGGGGTTGACATCCAAAATATACAAAGAGCTCATGCACCTCAACAAACAAAAAGCAAATAATCCAATTAAAAAATGGACAGAGGATCTGAACAGACATTTTTCCAGAGAAGAAATTCAGATGGCCAACAGGCACATGAGAAGATGCTCCACATTGCTAATCATCAGAGAAATGCAAATTAAAACCACAATGAGATACCACCTCACACCAGTTAGGATAGCCAACATCCAAAAGACAAACAATATCTAATGTTGGCGAGGATGTGAAAAAAGGGGAACCCTCCTACCCTGCTGGTGGGAATGTAAATCAGCTCAACCATTGTGGAAAGCAGTATGGAGGTTCCTCAAAAAACTAAAAATAGAAATACCATTTGACCCAGGAATTCCACTCCTAGGAATTTACCCTAAGAATGCAGGAGCCCAGTTTGAAAACGACATATGCACCCCTATGTTTATCACAGGACTATTTACAATAGCCAAGAAATGGAAGCAATCTAAGTGTCCATCAGAAGATGAATGGATAAAGAAGATGTGGTACATATACACAATGGAATATTATTCAGCCATAAGAAGAAAACAAATCCTACCATTTGCAACAACATGGGTGGAGCTAGAGGGTATTATGGTCAGTGAAATAAACCAGGCAGAGAAAGACAAGTATCAAATGATTTCACTCATATGTGGAGTATAAGAACAAAGAAAAACTGAAGGAACAAAACAGCAGCCGACTCACAGAACCCAAGAATGGACTAACAGTTACCAAAGGGAAAGGGACTGGGGAGGATGGGTGGGAAGGGAGGAATAAGGGAAAAAGGGGGCATTATGATTAGTACACGTAATGTAGGGGGGTGAGGCACAGGGAAGGCAGTATATAGCACAGAGAAGACATGTAGTGACTCTGTAACATCTTACTATGCTGATGGACAGTGATTGTAATGAGGTATGTGGTGGGGACTTGATGATGGAGGGAATCTAGTAACCACAGTGTTGTTCGTTTAATTGTATATTAATGATACCAAAAAAAAAAACCTGAGCTTTCTTTTACTTTTACTCTACCTGCTTATCCCCCTAGGGTACTGATGTACTCTCTGGTTGTGTCCAAACCAAGATTTTTGTGGATTATTAAACATGTGATGCTTTACTGGTGTGTCTGTGGAGATACTGATGCCACTAATTGCAAAATCTCATTGCATTTGCTCAGTTAATTCGGTTGCTTTGGGTGTTTTTCCTTGTCAGTTGAATTTGTTGTTTGTCCTTCTAATGTTGATTTTTTCTTAATGTGTGTTGATGTGTAGTTGTCTGCTCACCTTGCCTTTGGAATTCCCATTCACACCCTGATAGATTTTCAGATGAGCAGGAGGTGCTGATGAGTGAATGGGGGCACGTGCCCTTTGCTCATCGTTGTGGACATTCTCTGCTGCCCCTGGCTTCCTTGTATGCCCTGCTTTATCCTGTTGGACACTGGTCCCTGTGGTCCTGCTAGCCAGTGTTGGACAGAGCCTCAGGCTGCTCCTTGCCTAGCAGCCTTTCCCCACAGATGTGTTCTCTGGATTTCATTTTCCCCATATCTGAATCTGACTGTTCTTCAACCTTTAGGGATCCTTCAACACTCTTGGCACCCTTTGTGTGTGTGTGTGCGTGTGCGTGTGTGTGCATGCATGCACTTTTTATGTTTTCCATCATCCTTGCTTTGAATGGCTGCTTGCACAGTTCTGGAAGGCTGCCCTGCTAAGGTGTGGCTGTGCAGAAAACGGGCAGTCCCTACTGTTGCCCCTCTATCTCTTGGGCAGTTCTCCTTTGAGGAAATCTGCCACCCTCTGGGTAACTATCATGCTAAAGTGACTGACTGAAAAACATGGTGTTTTTCCATAAAGCTTACCTGTCAGACATCTTTCTTTGTGTCACTAATCTGTTTCAGCAGCCACAAATATACAGTGTGAGAGTGACTTGTTATCCTGAAAGTCAGTGTGTGTAACTGTTTGTGGGTCTTTTCAGGCACTTAAAGAGAAGGCAGAGCTGCAGGCTCAGCTTGCTGCGCTGAGCACGAGGTTGCAGGCACACGCACAGCACAGCCACACCAGCCAGCAGAGGCAGGACTCGCTCAGTGCAGAGGTGGACACCTTGAAGCAGTCATGCTGGGACCTGGAGCGAGCAATGACTGACCTGCAGAACATGCTGGAAGCCAAGAATGCCAGCCTGGCGTCCTCCAACAGCGACTTGCAGGTGGCCGAGGAGCAGTACCAGAGACTGATGGCCAAAGTAGAAGAGATGCAGAGGAGCATCCTCAGTAAGGACAACACGGGTGAGTGGTCCCCAGAGTCTGCTTTCCCGGGCCTCCCTCCTCCAGGTGCTCCCTAGGGAATTGTGGCCCAGTGGTGAGGTTCCTTTCGTCTGCTCTGAGGCTGACCTGTTGTCACATTAATATGCCGGCAGTGGGGGTGCCTTCCGTTTTGATTTATACATGAGGTGTCCACTTTTCTAAAGTAGGTATGTTTTTAGCTGAGGTTGTGGAACTCTACATTTCTGCATGCACCAAGAAGAATTGCTTTAGTCTCAGAAATGGGTTTGGCCCTTGACAGTTAGTAATCCTTCCCACTCATTCTGCCTCCAGAGTCCACTGTTGTTTGGGGTGCTGTAGCTGCCAGCCTATTCCACAGCATTGCAGATTCTATTTAAAGTATTTAAGGGCAGCACTTATATGTTGATTAGTAAATTTGTATTTTTTCCTACCTTAAGTTCAGCCTTTGGCCCATATGGATCCCTGTGGGAATCACCTGTCACGTGACAGACAAAGGGAACAGTGGAATCAAGGGAACCTTGGTGACAGGCCATGCACGGGGAACCTATGTGGGTGGCCCTTTGCTTATGCTGTCTTCTCATCCTGGGGGGCGAGTGCTCCATCCCCAGAGTCAACACTCCACACCCAGCTGGTCACCTAGAAGACTGGTCTGCCTGCTTGTATCTTAGTGTTGGCTGACAGGGAGTGGGGATGCGAGGCTAAAGATCAGAGCCTGAGGGACACCCTACTGGCCAGATCTTAGACCCCAGCCAGACTGGAGAGATGAGTTCTTGAGAGCTCTGGGCTGTCTGAGCAATAGGAGCAGCTGCATGGACTGCTGTGAAGAACCATGTCTGTCAGCCTGGAGTCATTGCCATAAGGCTCTGAGACTAGGTTTCAGATCTGATGACATAAAAAAATGTGACAGACTGCTGTCACAGAGGCTTTAGTCTCATCCTAGAAAAAAGAAAACACCAGCTAAGAAACAAAATAGTAGAATGTAGGTCTTTTAGTATTTAATATACTCAGTCCCTTAAGAAAATGATAAAATCCATAGAAGTTCTGAACACCAAAAGTATTTTGTAACTCTGGTCAGGCTGACCAGAGCTCATTGAAAGCAGAACTGCCCTCACTCACACAAGGCTGCAGCCCCCGGGTCACAGCACACACGGACACCACATGCCACTCTTCACTTACGTGTGCTGTGTGTTGGGTTTGGGCTGTAGAGTGATACCTCTGTTCCATTTCTAAAATCCCAACATTGTGAACCTAAAAACATATATGGCCCCAAAAATTTCAGATAAGGAGCCATGAATCTTCTTGAACTATCATGTTTGGGTTTTTTTTGTTTTGTTTTTTTGATTTTTGGAAACTGTCTTTAGAAGGATACATGTTTTCTTAAATACCAGATTTCATTTTAATTTTAAAGTATTTGGCCAGTTTTGTTTATACTGCTTCTGGCTGTAACTTCCTGTGTCCTCCCTCTTCCTGCCCTACCCTCAGTAGTGTTAAGAGGTGACTGGGTCAGCAAACCAGCAGGCTTTAGTGCGGAATTAGCAACATGATCCCATTCCACTGTTTGTTGATGGTGCACAGACATCGGCAGGCCACTTAAGGGCTGGAGCCACAGCATCCCCAGTGGCTTTGTGGACACACAGTTGGTTCTCAGTGTCTGCAGGTCCCCTAACTGAATTTTCTTCTTCACTTGCATCAGCTTGAACCCAGACCAGCAACTCAACAGTGCTCCCACGGCCCTTGGGAGCAGGCGTAGAGCCATGAAAGACTGGAGTCTCTCGAAATGTAAACAAGTGCCCTTTTGTTGTTTATTTAGTGCTATGTTATTGCATTTTGGGTTATTTGGTACTTAAAATGAACCCCAAACACTGTCTGGTGTTCTCAAGTGCAAGAAGCCTGATGTGTTTTTTGGAGAAAATACATTTGTTAGGTAAGCTTCATTCAGATGTTACGGGGCTGTTGGCTGTTGGTTTGGTGTTTCTGAATCAAGTCAGGTGTCTTTAAACAGAAAAATAAGAAACCGTATGTTGATCAGTTGAGAAAAGGTTGTTACCAGAACTTAACCCAGGTATTTCCCCCAGGAGCCACAGTTCAGTCTCCCAAGATTGCAGTGTCCACATAACTTTATAGAACATCACTCCTGTGAATAGCAAGGATGGGCTGTTTCCTGCTCTGCAGAGAACCTGACTTTGGTTTGGATGTCTGTAGAGCAGCAGGCTCTTCTGTTTGCGGCAGGTGATCTGAACTGCTGTGCTTGCTTGCTTTCAGTGCATGACCTGCGACAACAGATGGTGGCCTTGCAGAGCCAGCTACAACAGGTGCAGCTGGAGCGCGCAGCACTGACCAGCAAGCTGAAGGCATCCCAGGCTGAAATCTCATCTCTGCAGAATGTCCGGCAGTGGTACCAGCAACAGCTTGCCCTGGCCCAGGAGGCCCGGGTCAGACTGCAGGGTGAGATGGCCCACATCCAGGTATGGCCCCTGATATGCCAGGTAGGTCATGCTCCATATCTATGGAAGAGTTGCTTTTTCCCTAAATTAAAAAGACCTCCGTGTTTAGATTCCATAAATCCTTTAAAAATGTCTGCTAACCACTCTTATAGCCCATATCCCATTCTGTACAGCAGCCGCCTTCCATGACCTTCTGACACGGGGAGTCTTAACAGCTTCCACATGGGCATCTTTAATTCTAAACCCCTTCTCTGGAACCTTCTGTTCCTAGAACTGATTAGGAAGTCTCATGTCCCCCTGGAGGGCTCCTTTTCATTGTTTGAACCCAGCTGTGAAATCCATATCTGCCAGGGTCTCAGGACCTTTGCCCTGGCTACTCACCCTGGCTACCACCCTCCTGTGGTGTTGGTTCTGACCTGCTCAGGTCATGGCATGTGTCACCTTCCTGGCTGGAGCATCTCCTTTCTCCATCTGCTGGATCACCAGATCTTCCCATTGTGGACATCCTGTAGGAATGTTTCTTTCCTTTTTATTAGGGGAACAGGCATGTTAGCCTCTAATTCTGCATAGGTGAAAGCATGTGTCGGCCCAACCATGCAGAGTACTACTAGGGCTCAGCCCTGTGCTAAGAGGCTTCTCTCTCTGGGCCACATGTGCTCTGGAGGTCCCCAGGGCACAGGCTGGCTGCTGACATAAGCTGTGTCATGCACAAGCTGAACTCCAGCCCTGACCTGATTCAGGAGACCACTCTGAGTGTTGCCATGGTTAGGTTCGGCCTTCTTTCTGAATTTAGGGTTTTGTTCCCTCTCCATCTTTTTTCTCTTTTTTTGTCCAGATAAAATACTGTAGATAAGTTAAACTTTATTTCTCAAGTAGAAGATGTAAAATGCTAATTCCCCCAAACACTCCTTTTCTTAAAACCTAATGTCTACAAATATACCAAATAGAAGTTTTCTTTAATTTTTCTTACATATTTTTATAAGCTAAAGGACCATAGCAATAAGCATTTGTTCTACTTACAACATACTGGGAAATAAATCATGGTCAACTTAATGCAATTGTGAAACCACAGTGCATTTATGTGAGGCCTAAAATATTTAAAGAAGCCAGATTTATATATCCTGACATAAGTCAAAAATGGAATTTGGAAGATAAAAATAGAGGAAACATCCAAGGGCGGGGCAGTTTGAGAACCGTAACTGCTTTTTTCAAATACCTTTAAAGTCCAGGTTCAGATTCCTTAGTTAGGGTTTTTAATTTATTTTCTTCCTATTTTCCCAGTAACACAGAAGTGTCTCCAGGAACATTTGGTAGGGAGGGGAATGCCAGTCTTTACTCTTTCGTTGCCTTAAAACAATCCCAGTAAACTGTGTCTTCCCTTGTCCCAGGTGGCTTCTATTTAGACCCTGAAACTCACAAGTTCTGGTCATATCTGACATCTTGTGAGTCTGGGGCTATTACCTGGAAGTAATGTTGTTGAAGGTCTGGACACAGACCTGTGTGCCCTGGACTTCTCTTTCCTGACTGCTCCTCTGGGGGCCGGGTATGGGAGTGCTGTAAGCTGAGCGCCTTTTCTTGAGGACATGGTTGGTCAGAGGAGGGCTGATGTGACAGCCTGGGTCAGTCCTGGGGCTGGATTGCCAGTACCACCTTCTGGAAATGGCCAGGATCAGCCTGGTGAGCATCCAGGACAGTCAGGCCCTGAGAAGGCAGGGCTTGAAATGTATCTGGTCAATCTGTCAGTTCATTTGATGGGCATCTGTCCGTGCTGTCCAGATGAGGTCCTACCTTGAAGGCTCACAGGTGTACCTGCAGTGGGGTTTTGCCACTAACTGTAGTCTCAGGGGCAATGACCACTGACTTCTGGGCTGCCACCCTGCCCCTCTTAGACTCAGAGAACCATGTAGCCCAGGTGACATGGTGGCTGGCAGGGGTGGGGCAGTGAGGCCCTGTGTGGAGGGGTCCTGGGGGCACCCCCTTGAGGGTCATTGCTGGGTAGAGACCCTCACTGAGCAGTCACAGGGACAAGCTGGTGTGTCTGGAAACCTAGGGACTTTCTGCCTTGTGATGTTTTTCTTCGAAGGTTGGACAAATGACCCAGGCAGGCCTCCTGGAGCACCTGAAGCTTGAGAACGTGTCCCTGTCCCACCAGCTGACTGAAACGCAGCACAGGTCCATCAAAGAGAAGGAGCGCATTGCTGTCCAGCTGCAGGGCATCGAGGTAGGGGCCAGGCTGCCCTGGCTTTGGAGTGTTGGCTTTTTTTGGGGGGTGGGGTGGGGGGCATCTTTTTTTTTAAACCGGTTAAAAAAATATGCAAGTGTGTATGTACATTTACAAAAACAGTGTTGTATATACACATACATATGTCTTAAAAATACTCTTTTGAGAGACTGCAGAAATCTGAGTCCTAGGGAACCCATTGCTCCCACACACCAAAGTTCTTCACGCTCACCTCTGAGTTGTCTGTGGCAACGGGGCTGTCTCCAAGCTGCCTGGGCCTAGCACTTGTGCAGGTGCTGGGCAGAGAGTGCAGGGAGGGAGACATTGAATGTGTTGTATCTACGAGCATTCAGAGCCCATTGTAATGAGCATTTTCTTGTCTGAGCACTCAACTGCATTACCATGTAGTCCTAGCTAAGATTACAGCTGGCTGCTTTGGCAGATTTTTCCGTGAGGATGCGATGCAAAAGCTCTAACCTATTCTCTTTTTAGCTGTGAGACCCTCTGACAGTTTTTTAATCTCTCCAAGCCTCATTCACTTTTTTATAAAATGAGGATAATAGTACCTACATAACAGGCTGTTGGGAAAAGTAAAGAAGGAAAAAGGCACGCAACTTTGGGGTGTGACCCCACAGTGCTTTGCTGACTGCATCAACCCCCTGTAGTTGTGTAAAAGTCAGGTTTTGGGGCAAGTGTGCTCCCTGTCTCCCCACCTCTCCATGTGTCCCTTTGTCCTCATGGGTAATGTGGGTGATGGAAGAGAATCATGTCACATCAGATGTGCTTCTGGGGCTCAATGTCAGAGACTGAATAATGTTAAGTTATAAATGACTCAAAAGAAACATACCTAGACATTGGGCATTACTGCACAGTCAAAACATCAGGAATGCCACCTTTGTCTCATGGCCTCTGGTCTCTGGTTTTACCATGTGGTACAAAGAGATAATCTTGTGAAAGAGAATGTCCCAAGGGTCACACTTCAAAAGTAGGGACTTGAGAGGCAGCCACGGAGGCTCCATTCATCACTTCACATTAGTTCTCAGAACTGGGCTGTGCCTGCTTCTCCTTTTGGCCAGGTGTGAGGGGTAGCAGAGGGAACATGGGTGGAGGAAAGGAGGGCTGCCTATCCTCTGAGCCTCGGGAGGTCACTAGCCTTCCATCCCTGTGGCCCTTAGCTCCTCCATTTGTGTAGTGAGGACAGCAATGTCAACAGGAGCCTCTTCCTAGGGACACGTTTCTGTGCTCAGTTTGCTGTGGCTCTCAGGTCATTCTGCTTTTTACTTATTTATTTTTACATTTAAAAGTAGTTCACACTTTATAGTCCTTCATTTTATTTTTATATTTTAATTACTCATTTTTTTAATTGAGGTACATAGAGTAAAATGCACAAATCTTAGTATGCGGCCCAGTGAATTTTTGACAACATGTATATACTCATGTAACCATCACAAAGATCAAGATATCAAACATTTTCACAAATTTCTTTTCCCCCTTCAGCTATTTATCATGCTTTTAAAAAAAAACTCTGTTCTTCTGGACCTAGGCAGATATGTTGGACCAGGAAGCAGCCTTTGTGCAGATTCAGGAGGCAAAGACAATGGTGGAGGAGGACCTGCAGAGGAGGTTGGAGGAGTTCGAGGATGAGAAGGAGCAGCTACAGCAGATGGCAGCCTCAGCAACAGCCCTGGAGCAGCAGTTAGAGCAGGCAAGCCCCAGCAGCGGCCTCCCTGGATGCCCCCAGGCGCCATGCAGCTGTCCTTGCATGGCTGGCCTCAGTGTACACATTGGTGCTGGCCTGTCCATCACATCACCAGACCTGGCAAGGGGTTTACTTCTGCTCATGTTCTTCTACACCAGAACTTACATACAGCCTCCAGAATTCCCATCCAAATTGTTTAAAAGCTGAACAGAGAACATGGGTGAAGTCCTGGAGCAGAATGGTGTTTTCATTCGGGAGCAGTCATGTTGAATCTGGCTCTTTTTTTCCAGTTGACACTGACTTTGCATCAGCGAGACCAGCAGCTGGAGGCTTTGCAGCAGGAGCACCTGGACCTGTTGAAGCAGCTCACCACTGCACAGGAGACTTTGCAAGCCAAGGAGCAGTCCCTGAATGGCCTGCAGGTGCACTGTGACGAGCTGCAGGCCAGGCTGGAGGAGCTGCAGGGGGAGGCTGCCTCCAGGGACGAGGCAATCTGCTTCCTGCAGAATGAGAAGATTGTCTTAGAGGTGGCTCTGCAAGCAGCCAAGAGTGGCAGGGAAGAATTTGATACAGGAGCAAAAAGCTTGGAAGAAGGTTCCGAGGGAACATCAGAGACTTTAGAACAGTTGAGTCAAGAATTAGCCATCAAGTCTAACCAGGTAACGTGGTTTGCTGCCATCTGTTATGAGTCAGAATCATACATGCAAGAAAATGCTGATTGTATGGTCCTTTCTCTGAACACCTTGTTTTGTAAACGAAGGAGAATGCCTCCAGAGCAGGGCCCAGGGCTAGCTGGGGGCATGTTTCCAGTGCTGCATTGGCAGCTGAGGGTGTAGGACTGGGAAACCGAGCTACATTTGGGGCTTTGAAAGTCATACAGGTAGAACAGAAAAGCTGAGGGTGTGAAGGAGGAGAGTTGGTGTCAGGGAACGCCCCCCCTTGAGCATCAAGGACAACAGGAATCAGTAACACATTTCCCCTTTGGAAGGTAAAGTGAAGGGAGGCCGTGTTCTCCTAACAAACCCTGACTATTCCTAAATTACACTCTATGGCGGTAGCTAAGGCAAGTCACTGATGCAGTAGGGGAATCGTTCAGAGTTGTGTGAATTCTCTTGACAAATTGATTTTATTGACTGTTAGCTAGGGAAGAGAGACAGTTGACACTTGAAAACTCTGAAAGAGACATTTGGTGGTACTAGGCCTTATTTAGCGTGTTTAAATTTTGTATGTGTTGTTAACAAAGTCACTGGTAGTTATACTTTGGATTAAGATTATTATCCTGCAGGTGGAGTAGGGAGGGAGGAGTGGTAGCATTCCTTCACTGGGAAGGTCTTTCTAACCCTAAAAGCTGTTTCCTTAACACAGGACAGAGAGCCACCCTGTTGACTAAAACCAACAGTGTAGTCTGCACACATGAGACCCCATGTAATACGTGCATGTCCCTTATAGGTGGAGCAACTGCAGCAGGAGACTGCCAGTCTTAGAAAGCAGACTCAGAAAATAAAGGACCAGTTTCTTCAACAAAAGGTAAAAGCATGTTATTCTTTATGTGAAGCAAGTGTGTGAAAAAAGTTCCTTGTGCTGTGATCACTTCACTAGGACAAAACTAATTCAGAGGAGGGTGACATGGAGACACCTTCAGTTTTTGGAGGCACTTCACTAGTTCTATGCCATCCTCGCTCATCCCATTAACACCTCCAGAGGGTACATTTTCAGTGGGTTGGCATCCCTGATCACTCAAATCATGCCCCTTGGTCATGCCAGAGAGTGTGTGCTGCTACCACAGAGGCTGACAGTAAACATGGTTGTGAAAAAATACACTGCAGTCCAGCATGGATGAGACATGTATAGGCCAAAGGGCATGGCACAGGTCTCGTGTTAGTAAAGCTCATGTTTCTGGTTGGAAGAATGAGTGCAAGGTGTCACTCGGCGCCAGGATCTGAGGCAGGATGACCCTGAGGGAGGGATCTTTATTGCTGAGGTATGAGCCAGGGGGTCCCTGTAAGAAACCAGGCAGTGTGGCAGAAGGGCAGAGTCTCCAGGCTCCCCAGAGAAGGTGGAAAGCTAAGGCTCCCAGCAGTGGCTCAGATGCTCCAAGCATCTCTAAGACCTGCTCAGATGCACAAAACAGCAGCGTGTCTCAGTGATTGGTACCTTGGATCTGGTGATGTATGTTATCTTTAGCCCGTAAACAGTTAAGCCTCAGAGAAGTGGTGAGTGTTTCTGTTTAAGCCAGTTGACCCTGTGCTGGCTGCAGCTTCCATCTTTTGAGCAGGTGATGGTGGAGGCCTACCGGCGGGATGCCTCCTCCAAAGACCAGCTCACTAGTGAACTGAAGGCCACAAAGAAGCTGCTCGACACAGAGGTGAAGGAGCTGAGGCAGGAGGTACTTCAGCTTCAGGGAGAGAAGAGGTCCACAGAGATAGAGCATTCACGCTTACAAAAGGATGTGTCCCGGGTCCATCAGCAGATCGCAGATCTTGAAGGGCATCTGCAATCAGTGCAGCAGGAGCGAGACCAGATGGAGGCACACTTACAGGTCTGGGCGAGTGGTTTGTGGAGCTCTCTGGGGGTGGAGGGGAGAAGGAGAGGCTCCCATCCTGTTGAGGCAGGCTTCTCCGGAGCTGCCAGCCACAGGAGACTCAGCCGCCAGGGAGTCTCCTAGGTTGAGGGATGGCAGGGCATTCTGTGCCATATGCATGAGGAAGGTGCGGCCTGGTCAGTCCCACTGCAGCAGCCGGCTCGGACTGGAAGTCTTAGTGCAGTGGGCCTTGCGATGGATCTTGTGCTTGGGTGGAGGTCCCCAAGGTCAGGGAGGTGAGCCCAGGAACTTGATGAGATGATGGTGGCTGGACTCCCGAGGGGTAGGGGAGAGAGACTTCAGTGCAGAGCTTCTCCTGTGGCTTGAAATGGAGGGATGAGCAGTAAGCTTGGGGTGGTGGTGGGCAGGCTGTTAGACTAAGGGCTCCATCAATAGGTGATGTTTGAAATTCCCAAGAGGGCCAGGTGGAATCCAGATTGGCAGGAGGAGTTGTAGGAACAGATGCTGGAGCTGGGAGTGTGCAGGTGGGAGAAATGGCCAGGAGAGCACATGTGTGCGTGAAGGTGTGCAGTGTGAGTGCCCGAGCATCCTGGGACTGGAGAGGCAGCCAGTGAGGCAGGAGGGCAGAGGCCCTCCTACAGTGGTTCCCAGCTCACTCCAGCAGTGCTCTTCCTGGGGTCTGTCCAACTCTGGACACATGCAGCTGGGGACACTGGACCTTTATAAAGTGATCATTTATAAAAAGGCAAGCCTCTTGGCCTCCAGGGCAGCCTTGAAAGGGCACAGTTCCCATGAGGCAGATCACGGACTTGAGCTGTAAAGGGGTTTTGCACACCTCACTTTGTTGCCTCCCTTCGTCTGAAGACTTTGCAGTTCGATAAAGAGCAGATGGTCGCTCTCACAGAGGCCAACGAGGCACTTAAGAAACAGATAGAGGAGCTGCAGCAAGAAGCTACAAAGTAAGTGGGCTGTTAGGCGTGTGTTGGTGGGAGGAGTGGTTGTGGGCAGTGTGAGCTGGGGATGCAGTGCCCTCCAAGGGCCAGAGAGACCCAAGCACACCGTCTGCTGACCCCTTGCCAAGGAGAAAAAACACTGGTGTCCTTGGCTCTATGGGACATGCTGTCATTCCTCTAATAAGTGCCCTTTGGTTTCTGTTTCCATGTCAAGTGCATGCTATGGTGCCCTTTTCCCCGAGCTCCCTGAGCAGGGCTGACATTTGTGTTCATCCCTTGTGCGTGCACGCGCGCGCGCGCGCACACACACACACACACTTTAACCCCTTGGTGAAAAGTGCACCACTTTGTTCTTATCAGCCAGTGTTATACTCATGATCCTGGCCATTGACTTTGTTGCCGCTGTTCAAGAATTCTGGGAACATTTCTCTCTGGAGGAGAGGGCTATGCTGTGCCTTGGAGAGATCATCTAAACAGCTCCAGGAGGGGGAAGGGCAGAATTAAGTGCAGTGCAGGGCTGTGGAGGGCACCTGATTCTGGGCAGTGCAGCAGCTGGAGAGGAGCAGGGCTGGGGACAGCCTCCCCCCAGAGCCCTCAAGTCAGGAGCTGGAGAGAGATAAGGATGGATTTCCAAGAAATGCTCAGCCTCCCCTTGTATGTGAGAAAGCCTAAAGTCATGTCCAAGGTGAGTCCAGATTTCCCTCTGTCCCCTCTGCCACGCCCTAGGGCCATCACTGAACAGAAGCAGAAGATGAGACGGCTGGGCTCAGACCTGACCAGTGCTCAGAAGGAGATGAAGACCAAGCACAAGGCCTACGAGAACGCTGTGGGTATGCGGCCTGGTCAGTCCCACTGCAGCAGCCGGCTCGGACTGGAAGTCTTAGTGCAGTGGGCCTTGCGATGGATCTTGTGCTTGGGTGGAGGTCCCCAAGGTCAGGGAGGTGAGCCCAGGAACTTGATGAGATGATGGTGGCTGGACTCCCGAGGGGTAGGGGAGAGAGACTTCAGTGCAGAGCTTCTCCTGTGGCTTGAAATGGAGGGATGAGCAGTAAGCTTGGGGTGGTGGTGGGCAGGCTGTTAGACTAAGGGCTCCATCAATAGGTGATGTTTGAAATTCCCAAGAGGGCCAGGTGGAATCCAGATTGGCAGGAGGAGTTGTAGGAACAGATGCTGGAGCTGGGAGTGTGCAGGTGGGAGAAATGGCCAGGAGAGCACATGTGTGCGTGAAGGTGTGCAGTGTGAGTGCCCGAGCATCCTGGGACTGGAGAGGCAGCCAGTGAGGCAGGAGGGCAGGGGCCCTCCTACAGTGGTTCCCAGCTCACTCCAGCAGTGCTCTTCCTGGGGTCTGTCCAACTCTGGACACATGCAGCTGGGGACACTGGACCTTTATAAAGTGATCATTTATAAAAAGGCAAGCCTCTTGGCCTCCAGGGCAGCCTTGAAAGGGCACAGTTCCCATGAGGCAGATCACGGACTTGAGCTGTAAAGGGGTTTTGCACACCTCACTTTGTTGCCTCCCTTCGTCTGAAGACTTTGCAGTTCGATAAAGAGCAGATGGTCGCTCTCACAGAGGCCAACGAGGCACTTAAGAAACAGATAGAGGAGCTGCAGCAAGAAGCTACAAAGTAAGTGGGCTGTTAGGCGTGTGTTGGTGGGAGGAGTGGTTGTGGGCAGTGTGAGCTGGGGATGCAGTGCCCTCCAAGGGCCAGAGAGACCCAAGCACACCGTCTGCTGACCCCTTGCCAAGGAGAAAAAACACTGGTGTCCTTGGCTCTATGGGACATGCTGTCATTCCTCTAATAAGTGCCCTTTGGTTTCTGTTTCCATGTCAAGTGCATGCTATGGTGCCCTTTTCCCCGAGCTCCCTGAGCAGGGCTGACATTTGTGTTCATCCCTTGTGCGTGCACGCGCGCGCGCGCGCACACACACACACACACTTTAACCCCTTGGTGAAAAGTGCACCACTTTGTTCTTATCAGCCAGTGTTATACTCATGATCCTGGCCATTGACTTTGTTGCCGCTGTTCAAGAATTCTGGGAACATTTCTCTCTGGAGGAGAGGGCTATGCTGTGCCTTGGAGAGATCATCTAAACAGCTCCAGGAGGGGGAAGGGCAGAATTAAGTGCAGTGCAGGGCTGTGGAGGGCACCTGATTCTGGGCAGTGCAGCAGCTGGAGAGGAGCAGGGCTGGGGACAGCCTCCCCCCAGAGCCCTCAAGTCAGGAGCTGGAGAGAGATAAGGATGGATTTCCAAGAAATGCTCAGCCTCCCCTTGTATGTGAGAAAGCCTAAAGTCATGTCCAAGGTGAGTCCAGATTTCCCTCTGTCCCCTCTGCCACGCCCTAGGGCCATCACTGAACAGAAGCAGAAGATGAGACGGCTGGGCTCAGACCTGACCAGTGCTCAGAAGGAGATGAAGACCAAGCACAAGGCCTACGAGAACGCTGTGGGTATCCTCAGCCGCCGCCTGCAGGAGGCCCTCACAGCCAAGGAGTCAGCTGAGACAGAGCTGAGCCAGCTGAGAGCCCATGCGACAGATGGTGGCAGTGACCTCATTCTACACGTGGGTAACTTGTCTGCTCCTGGCCAGGGTTTTGGGGGATAGGACAGGTGGGGGCCGTGGTGGAGGAGGGGGCAGGGAGGGCTGGGGTCAGGGTTTTGGACTTACTCATCCATATGATAGAAAGCAGGCCAATGGTTGGGTGGGGTGAGACCTGCCTGCTCTCCTGGTGGTGGGACTGAAGGCAGTTGGAGGGCAGGAGAGGCCTGATAGGGAGCCAGGTGGGCTTCCCTGCAGTAGCTCAGGCATGATGGGAACTAGACAAGGTACAGAATAGGAACCGGAGTGAGGGGGCACCAGCAGCTCGTGGTCAGTGCCGGGAGGGAACAGCATGTGTGCACGCAGGACGGGCCCTCACTGCCCAGGTTGAGAGTGGGTTGCAGGTGGCCCTGTGGTGCCTGGCATAGCATCATTCTGGAGGAATCAGGGAAGGAGGTCTGTTGGGGGGAGTCAAGGGATGCAAGTGGCTATGAAACAGACAGACTCAGGAGGAAGAGGGACCCTGCACACAGGTGAGGGTCTGGAACAGTTTTTCCCACTGTAGGTCATGAAGCAAAAGCCTTTTGCTTTTGGGTTATTTTTTAGGATAAACAGAGTAAATGGCATCCCTGAGGAGGATGGAGGATGGGGACAGTAGGGTGGGGTATGTGGTTTGCAGGGGTTGTTTGCATGACCAGTTTCCTCAATGTCACTCTGTGTTCAGTGACAGCACCCTGGTTCCCCACATCCCTGCCAGCCCTGGGTCAGGGGCAAAGCTACCTGAGTAAACTGACTGGCATCTCATTGATTACTCTCCCACTTGAATCATTCCCTAATCAGCAGTTTCTTTTGGGAATTTTGTCTCCGTTTCCATGCCATTAAAGAAACTGCAAGCAGAGATAGCCCATATCATAGTAGTGTTTTCTTGTCAAATTTAATAAATTAAATACTCCTTTTCCCTTGCTAACTTTATAAATGTCTAGAGAGGAGAATTTATTCAATTGCAGTTTCCCTTCTACTTTAAAATATTGTTCTTTTGACTTGTTCATTATGCTTCAGAAGATTGGAGACTGACGAGAATTAGGCTTGAGATGGATTAATGATTGTGCATTGAGCATTGACTCCCCTATACAGAATTTTATTGTTGTTAACAACCATTTGATCAATAAATATGAGAGATGCCCTCTCAAAAAAAAAAAAATGCAAATGCCCCAGAGAAGTAAATCTTTTAAGCTATTGTCCTTTGACATGTTTGACAGAGACAATGGACACAAAGTTGCAGGTGGGAAAAGTCAAAAAGCTAAGGGGATGGAAGTCCCAAACACAATTCATCTACTATAGAAATTTGTCTAAGGCTTGTGCGATTTTATAAGATGTAACATAGTGCTTTATTTGACTATCATAAGGATTAACTAATTTTATTAAATGTAAAATATTCTAAAAATATATATATATATATATTGTTCTTTTGGCTCACTGGCACCAAGTAGGGTCTGTCACCCACTGCTTTGCACCTCTGATTCCCAAGAACTGGAATCCTGCTGAGGCTGCACCTCACCACTTGTAAGTTGGGCACCTCAGGCAGGCTGTCCACCCTCAGACCCTCAGTAAAATGAGGCCGAAATGAGGTAAACAGTGGAGCGTCCCTCACTAGGAAGGCTGAGTGCTCAGAACAGCGCCTGCACCAGATCAAGACTGTGCATGTGCACACACTTGTACAGTTACATGCCTATGTGCACATGTGTGTGCATGCACGTACATGTGGTACTCATCATACTATGCTTGGTTCAACTTACTTGCCACAGATAGTAATTTGTAGCCTTAACTGCAAGTCAAAATTTTTCTGTATTTTCAAAGCCTTTAATGGGAGAAGTTATTTGTGAGTCATTAACATGTGTTTGCTTTGGCCAGTTGATCAAGTCCTTTAAGGAAAGAGAAGTGCTGTACAATGGCCAGCAGCCTCACACCATAGGTGTGATACATGGCTACCCTGGGAGGAAAGGGAGGCACCTGTCATGTGGCCATTTTGAGGCCCAGAACAAAACTCACCTCTCACCATGGCTGTTAGGAGAGAATCCAGGCCCTGGAGGTAGAGCTGCAGACCGTTGGCCACAGCAAGATGATGCTGGAGAAGGAGCTCCAGGATGTCATCACGCTGACTAGCCAGGAGTTGGAGGAGCACCAGGAGAAGGTGCTGGAGCTAGAGGACGAGGTAGGCTGAGCTCCCCTGCAGTAAGTCAAGGAGACAGGCCACACTGCCCTGGTGTAGGGGCCTGACTGCTGGGCATTGCCACTCTGCATTTCTGTGTCTGACCTCTTCCTTGGATCTTTGACCACCTGCATGTCCAGACACCCCCATGCATCTCGCAGCACAAGTGCTCTAGCAAGGACAACTGTGTTCATTGCTTCGTGCGGTGGTTGTCAGAGTTCTTAGGGGCAGCTGTGCTCCCATTTAGAATGCTTTGGTTGCAAGTAACAAGAAACCCAGCTCAAACTGATTTACACCTTCAAAAAAACTCCATGTAATTCTTACTCCCTGAAACAGTTGTGGCTTCAAGAAGGTGCCACACACAATAGCTTGGTGAAACCACCAAGGGCTCTGCATAGGGTCCCAAGGCTCCAGTGTGGCTGTCAGCATGCAGGGCTCTGTGCATTGTTCACCAGCTCTGTGTCACATTCAGCCCCAAGGCCACCTGAGTTGTGACCTAGACATGCTCCTCCAGGAGCATATGGTCCCCAGGAGCAGGCTGGGTGTTGACTGTGAAGCTTGCAGGGAACCCAAAGGTAGCCATGAGGCAAGCATGCTGCAGCTGGTGTGGCTCATGGGCTCCAGGGTCATTTATTGTGTTCCAGTGTTAGCAATTCTGTTTCTGGCTGTGATTGCTCTGTCACCCAGAACATAATTACATAACTTCACAGTGACTTTGGTTTGTTTCAGCTTCAAGAATCCAGGGGTTTTAGGAGGAAGATAAAGCACCTTGAAGAGTCAAATAAGAAGTTGGCTCTGGAATTAGAGCATGAGAGAGGGAAGCTTACTGGCCTTGGACAGTCCAACACAGCTTTGCGGGAACACAACGGCATCTTAGAGACAGCTTTAGCCAAGAGGGAAGCAGATCTCGTTCAGTTGAATCTTCAGGTATGCAAACTCATTTACCAGAAGCAGAGGGAGACTTACTGGACACCAGGAAGTGCTCTGAACATCTTACCAGTATTGTCTGTATTTAATCATCACAGCTTCCTGCAAGGAAAATGTTACACCTCCATCTCAGAGATGCAGAAACAGAGGCTCAAAGGATCTGGTGAATTCCCAAGCCTCCCTTCCTAACTCTGAGATTGGGGGTAGAGCTAGGGAACTTCTCACTCCCCCATAACTGAGTCATGGAATAATGATCGTTAGTCCATCAGTTCCCTTGTGGGTGGGCCACTCCTGGTGACACAGCTCAAGGCATCTACACTCTGCATAAGGGACTCTTACCTGAGGGTCTCATGAAATGCAGACTAGGATTCAAAACCTGGCAAGGTTCTTGTTTCAGACTCAGTTCTTACTTCTCAGGCTCTGTAACCTCTTAGGTGATTGAGAAGAGTCAGCATTTCTGAAAGTCTCCCAGTGGCCATTTGCAGCCAAATCCAGCCCTGCCATGAGTTACCTAGCAATTGGAGGGCTTGCGGACTTCCATTTGACACTAGCTCACCACCACATCCCAGTGGCATTACCTCCCTCTCCATGAGGGCATCTGCACTTACAACCCCTGATCAGTGTGCATCTTTTGAGTTCCTAGCTATATACTTGAATGTGATCATATGACTGCACCCCTACAATCTCAGATTTCTGTTTCTGTAAGTGCTCTCCAGAAATAGAATTCTCCCTGCTTTCTTAGCTGGTATACCAGCGGGTAACATACTGTGATGTTGTGCTGCCATGCTCCTAGGTTCCCCAAGTGGCCTTGGTCAGCACAGTCATGCTGCCGCTGGGGCTCTGCAGGCTTTTGGAATTTGACATCCTTCCTCACCTACCACTTCTGCAATGTGTGTAGGTGCAGGCAGTTTTGCAACGTAAAGAGGAAGAGGACCGCCAGATGAAGCAGCTTGTCCAAGCTTTACAGGCTGCACTGGAGAAAGAAAAGGTGAAAGTACACAGCCTCAAGGAACAGGTATGTGGCCACCTTCTGACTGGTTCTAAACTGCAGCCTCAAGGAACCTTTGGAATGCAGTATCTCAGTGTCTAAAAACTGAGTGTGGGTACCCTTGACATATCAGTTCCTTTCCAAAAATTAACCATATGAATACCTTGGCTGACATGTTCTGAGAACAAAAGTGTCACTGCGGCATTAGTGACAGTGAGAAGCTGCAGAGAAGCCTAATGCTTATCAGTAGAAGAGTGGGCTTGGATTAAACTGAGATGCACTAGTGAGGGTCTAAGAAATGCACGCAGAGCTCCATAGATAGGCATTTTGCTAGGAAAAGATGTCCTGCATGTAGTGTTGAGTTTAAAGAGCAAACTACAGAACAATGTATGACCCCATTTGTAAAAAAAATGTTAAAAAAGCAACCAAGAAAGGTGGTTGCATAGACCCTTTGTCATTTTCTGCATATGGGGCAGCATTCCTAGCTGGCTGCTTTCCATCACGTGTTTACCAGTGCATGGGATCAGTCATCCATCAGAGAGGCCTGCCCTTAATACCCCTGCAAGCTAGAGCAGACCTCACACAATGTGTTCTCACTACAGAGCCTTGTCTGTTGTGTCTGTAGAGCTTTCTCATCATGAGGGCTGTCCCTCATTTATTGTCATATCCCCATGTCTGGCACAGAGCAGGTGCTCAGAATATGCTTGACATGTCCAAGGATATGTGTGACCTGGGTTTTGCCACATCCTTTAAAAATTTCTCCATGATTATGTAGTAGACATGGAAAGAAATAGTTCTTTATTTCTTGAATGAGACAGTAAAACTTTCTAAAGATAAAACTAGTTTTAAGATATATTAAGAATATTTTGATATGAACAATTACTGGCTTGTTCTTGACCTGCTTCAGCCTTATCTGTAGTCTGTGAGTGGAGATGATGCAGGTCTGACAGTTCTGAGCTGATCAGTTGCACTCCCTCCTTTTCTGACCCCAACTTCCTGTCTTTTGCTCTGTGCTCAGGTACCACTAATTTTATTCTTGCCTTAAAAACTAGGAAATTTGTAATTGAAAGTTCTGGGGAAATAATGTATATATGACTTGATTTCTTTAAGGGCAGTAATTGTGAATGATGCTTATTTATTTCCTGTTCTTGTGTTCCAAGTGCAGTTAGTCTGACTGTCCTGATTATAAAAAGAGTACATGCTAGTAAAAAAAAGAAAAAGTACAGGTCATCTTGAATCTCTACCTATGGACAACCACTATTAATGTCTTCTTTTGGAATTTTTTACTTATTTATAAGAGTTTTTCCTATGTTCATCTGTCATGTTATAAATATTTTTATTAAGCTTTTTTTAAATGAGCTTGCTGGTGCAGTTGAACAAGAAAACTAAATTATTAGGAAAAATGGAGAAGTCATTAAATTCTGAGAATTTGCTTTTCTCCTCAGAAACCTTGAGAGAAACAATTGTTAATTATGAAAAGGCCAGTTAATCATAAATGGATAACAATCAGTAGCTTTATTACAGTTAGTGTGAAGGAAAAGTAAATTCTTCCCCAAATACATGAACTATAAATAAATTTAACCAGAAATATGCAGGTATATTTGAAGAAGACTATACTATTTAGACCAAGAAAATCTTGAACAATTTATTTGTTCATTCAGCAAATTCCAGCAGCTGCATGTTGCATGTTTGATGCCAAGCAAGGGTTAGGTACTTGAGTCTTTTACGGGGAACTCAAGAGGCTTTGGGAGAAAACCCTGCAGGAGCAGCAGCTGGGGGCTGGCAGGTAGCTCTCACCCAGCACAGGCAACGCACTGGGCATCTTATGCATTGTTCTTGCGTTTGTACTTGACAGTGTTGGTGTCCCTCCTAGGTCACTGCTGCCAAGGCAGAAGCAGGACATAACCGCCGCCACCTGAAGGCTGCCACCTTGGAGCTGAGCGAGGTGAAGAAGGAGCTGCAGGCCAAGGAGCACCTGATGCAGGAGCTGCAGGCCGAGGCCCACGCTCTCCAGTGAGTGCCAGGCAGGCTGAGCAGGGCAGAGCAGGACCACTCAATGTCCTCATAAGGCTCCTGCTCCATCTCTAATGAGCACATTCAACACATTAGGGTCACCTGTGTTTTAGCAGATCACCTTGTATGCTGGTGGCAAATCTCAGGAGGTTGTACCTGATTCCTGTCTCAGAAGCCTGCAGCTTAACTCTGAAATTTCAGTCCTGATGCTGCTGGACTCTCTGCACCTTGCTGGTCCTTTGTTGAGAACAGTCCTCAAGAGTCTCCCAGGGTGAGGAGCACTGGCCTGAGAGCAGTGGCCCTCTGCCCCTGACTCACTGTGGACTCTGGTTAGGGCAGCCTCCAGGTGGACATGTGTAGGGATACATGTTGGGCAGTGCATGTGCATTAGTCCCTAAGGCACCACAGTCTGTAAAGTAGCTAAGGAAGCATTCCTCACAGGGGTTTTGTTGGTATTAGTCCAGACAGTACATTGTAAAGCTCCTAAAACAGTCCCTGCCTAGAGTGAGTATATGAGTTTTTGTCATTGGAAGTCTCACCCAGGATGTATAACACTGAGCTGACATTTCTGAGTGGAAAGGAAAGTTGGAAGGATGCTGTGATTTCATTCTTCCCTGTTTTTTACATCAGGATTCAGGATGGGAAACATTTCCAGGAAATCGCACAGTTCCAGGCAGAGTTGGCAGAGGCCCGAGCCCAGCTTCAGCTCCTACAGAAGCAGCTAGATGAGCAGCTAAACAAACAGCCCATAGGAAACCAAGAGGTGAGAGCCTCCAGGGCAGCATTACGTCTCCACTTACCAGGGCCTGCAGAGCCAGACTCTGCTGCTGAGCACACTGAGTTTCTCATTCACTGTCCACTTGGAAAGGGATGTTAATTTTTTCTAAGGATGATTATTAAACAATCACAGAGATAGAGTTCAAGCAACTGTGTAGTGCAAAAAAGCCATTTTAAATGTTTTTGGTCCTATGACTTTTCTCCCTCCTCTAGATGGAAAATCTCAAATGGGAGGTAGATCAGAAAGAGAGAGAAATCCAATCCTTAAAGCAGCAGCTGGACTTGACTGAACAACAAAATAAAAAAGAATTGGATGGTATACAACAGCTGCTGCAGGTATGTGTTGGGCAGGGTCCTGGGGCAGAGGCAGAGGCAGCATTGCCCAGGTTGGCTGATGGTCACAACACTGGCCCCAGGCAGCATGCCGAGTGTGAAACTTGAGCTGGCCATGAATTGAAGGCTCCCACCAAGCCATTCTGCCAACTTGACCCCATTTCAGAAAGAAGTCCAAGCCAACCGGCTAAGGAGACTGAGCAGACCACGGCCCCGGTGCCACACCTGGGGCTGAGCTGTGACAAGTACCGGAAATGGGATCTCATGAAGCCCAGTTAGTGAGACTGTACATGTGAAAAGTTTACCACTTTGTGATAAATTTTTCCACAAGGAAATCTATGTACAGTCTTGAGGAAATGATCAGGAACATAACTGTTGCTAAGATTCTTGATTGTAAATGTGTGGCTTGAATAGCAATTAGAATTGATTTATATTTCTCCTTAGTAACAGGTTTCTTGTAGTAGCTGACCTTGGAATTTAAACTTGTGACTTTTGGGGTTTATCGTAGAATGCAGATATGGGAGTATTATGGGTTCCTCACACAGGCTCTGAAACTTGGATAAGAAGATTGAGGGCATGATACAGCTGGGTGCTTTGCAGTTTAGACTATTCAGAGGAATTATGCTGAGATGGGAGCATCACATACTTCATCATATAAAAATTAGTGTTGTGTTATTAGCCCCTTAGAGTTGCGACATACAAACCAAGATCTTATCAGTGTGCTTAGGATCTTTTATCTTTTAAAAATCTGACTTCCTTTTCTGTAGAATATCAAATCTGAGTTGGAGATGGTGCAGGAAGACCTGTCCATGACCCAGAAAGATAAATTTATGCTTCAAGCTAAAGTGTCAGAACTGAAGAACAACATGAAGACTCTACTCCAGCAAAACCAGCAGCTCAAGCTGGACCTACGACGCAGCACAGCCAAGATGGTGACTGAGCCCACTCTAGCTTTGTTTGGACGGGAGGTTGGCAGATTTCCTAGGCTTTCAGACACAAAGTTATATTTAACCAACATTGAGCAACTATTGTGTGGAAATAAATGAAGATGGAATATTCTGCTTAGACAACAGGCCAATCATTTTATTTTGGTACCTTTTCCAAGAGAATGCTTGCTTCTTTCATACCATCTTGCTGTAAACCCAATGAGGGCATGGTTTGCCTGTGGCACCGAGCCCCTGCCTGCTGGGCAAGCCCAGTCGGGACAGCACTACTGTTGTGGGCTCTGCCCAGATGCGAACTTAATGCTTGTTTCCCCACTTGGTCTAGAGAAATACGTTCCAGTGCAAGACTGCTAAGATTCACAGGTTTATTTAGCATCGTTTGCCTATCTGTGGAAAAAGTCTGAAGTCCTAGGATGAGTTGGAAAACTGACTTAATCTCTTAGGGAAACTCAGAGTCAAGGCTGTGGTCTTCATGGAAAGCCCCTCTGTGGGAGCTGCCCTTTAAAATTCAGCTCTGTCCTCCTGAGGAGCTAGGACTGCATGGTTTATACTCAGTCATGTGCATTAGGAGGAGGCCTATTGATATCAGCCAGCATTCCTTGGGCCCCTGTGGCTGCCAGTGTTGCTGCCACAAAACAAAAACAGGAACAGGCCATCCAGGAAGTTGAGCTGGGGAGACCCCCGAGAGCACTTGTGGCAGTACAGACTGACAGGACAGGGTGGGGCGTCAGCCTTCGAGGAGAGGCTTTCCCTAACACTGTGTTTTTAAAAACAGAGGAAGGAACTCAAAGGTGAGGCTGGCTCTTCCAGTCCCGTGACACCAGTTAAGATCCCTGACTGCCCAGTCCCAGCCTGGCTGCTGGAGGAGCTGCTGCGGCCCCCACCTGCTGTGAGCAAGGAGCCCCTCAAGAACCTCAACAGCTGTCTCCAGCAACTGAAGTATGCTGCATGTTCTGAGCTCTGTTTCACTTATTCTTTAAAAGTAAATCACATGTTTAAATTGGAGGCATCTTCTCTGTTGCCAGCATTGAATGCCCAGCAGAGACTGAGCAAGTCTGTGTTAATGTTAATTGGGGTCACTCACCTCTCAATCCATGTTGTAAGGTGAGAATTGCCTAGAGCTAAACGACCCTGAGAAACCCTCAAGTCACCAGGACCTAATCCCTTAGATACCCCAAAGCTGACATTTTGTTCCCGTCAACATGAGGCCAATGTTTGGAGGACATGGCCACGTGGGGACATCTTTTTGGACCCTGTAAGTGGATGCCATGTTAACAGATCCTTGACTCTGCCTTTCCCACATTCTTCCTGAGCCTAAATCCATGTATGTGGAACCATTTGGCCTATTGATTACAGGGAATAATATTTTGAGAGTCCGTTAAGTTCTGTGACTACCATTGGTTTTGCTGGTCCCAATCAGAGAGGTTCAGTTGGCCCCTGAAGGTGCCACAGATGCATGAATGAACTGCTGTCCAGTTCAGGCAAGTTCCATTCAGGCATGTCAGGGTCCACGTGCATGTTAATGGACTGCCTGGGAAGGGACAGCATGTTTCCTGGCTCTTTAACTGGCATTCCTTCCTTCCTTGCTTCCTGTCTCCCCAGGCAGGAGATGGACAGCCTGCAGCGCCAGATGGAGGCACACACTGTCACGGTGCATGAGTCACTGTCATCGTGGACTCAGGGGGACCCCACCGCCATCCCTGCTCCCCCAGGAGACCACACCAACCCCAGAGGAGACACAGAGCTACATAGTCAGAGCAGGACCCCCAGAGAGGGACTGGAACAGTGACTGCCACACATCTGCACCTGGAGTGTTTGTAACTACTGAAAGGAATATTCTTTATCAATATTATTTATTGAATTTTGTGATCTATGTTTTTGTAAGAGATGGAAGTTAAGTTTTACATTTGCCTTTACAAGGGGTAAAATAACACATAAGAGCCAAGGCTTAGAGAAATAGTCATTTGTAGATCACAGCTTCTCCCACAAAATGACCAAATCTTAAAAACCTAGTTTAGATCTTAATGAAAAGTTTTTGAATGTGCCTGAAGGGTTATTTGTGAAGGAGAGATTGCCTTGAGCCAGCCAGCCAGTCACGAGTGGAAAGGGCACTAGCAGGTCTGGTTTCTTACTTTCTGTTTGATTCAGTGAAAGCTTCACCTCCCTGCAGGAACGGAACTTTATTTGCACCTTTGGTTTATATTTTATAATTTTCACTAGGCATCCTGCCCAAGAGGGTTGTATATAAATACTGAAAATCGTAATCTAATCTTTAAAAAGTATAAGTTCATATTATTTAAGAATGACATGAATTGATTTTTGACTGCCTTTGAAAGTCCACTGTCAGGATATTAATATACAGTAGGATTCGGGTGTCAGTCGGAAATTGTATTTTAAGAAATACAATTATTTTATTTACTCTGCCTTCTAAAACCACATATTCTTAGAAGGGTTGTTTTGGTTTTGCTGTATTGGTGTGCTTCTTTGCCCAGCACGTCTGGCCTGGTCTCCCATGAGGCCACCCTCAGAGGGTCGCAGCCTCCTTCCACCCAAGGCCGCTATCTGGAGGGACTGCCCGGAGCCCCAGCCCCATAGCCGCTCCACAGTCAGCATGCCCAGTATTTCCCCAAAGGCACCCACACACTTTTAAGTCTAGATGCCGCCATAACAATGCCCCGCCCGTTGGAGAAAATGGCAGGTCTGTCCTTAGATCGGCTGTGCTCCCCTCTGCACAGTGCAGAGCCAGGTCACCCACAGGGCCTACTTGGAGCAAGTGGGCACCCCTTCCTTCTGCAACAGGCTCTGCTTGCCCACCTGTGCATGTGCGTGGTGTGTGCTCCTGTGTGGGTACTGTGTGTGGGTGTGCATGGTGTGGGTTCCTGCTCCTAGGCGTGCGTGTATGTGTTGGCACATGGGCATGAGCACCTTGCATACTTGTGCATGAGGTCCTTGAGTGTGCATTGGCACGTCTTGTGGGTGTGGTGTGGGCCCGTTGCGCGAGTAGGCACTTTGTGTGATGGGCTTGTGCTTCACTGTGCAAGTGCACACCTGACAACAGTTCCTACCCTGCTCAGGCTGTTGCTGCCCCCACTTGGTCCCCAGTGAGCTCCACTCCAGCCCGGAGGAGACCTGTCTCCAGGGGCTTCTCCATCAGCTCTGTACCCAGAGCTCCATATCTCTGGGGTGGGCGTGGGGAGGGAATTTGCTGAGGGTTCACTACAGGCCAACCTGGGTACCGTGTCTGGAGTAGGAAACGGCCTGTGGCTATTGAGTCGCTGCTTTTCTTATCTTCTGAAGATCCTTGTGTTGTGGCCGTCAGGCAGATGCCCGGGCTGGCAGCTCCCAGGTGAAAAAGGCTGCCGCACTTAGATGAGACTCCTATGGCCCGGATTCCCCCAGAAGACGGAACCTCTCGTGGTGAAGGCACTGGTACACCGTGACTGCCGAGGCCCTAAGTTCGCAAAGTCACTGCAATGTTCATCCTGCTTCCATGAGTGTTTAGCAAACGTTAAACGTCACATGAAGATTCCTAATGGCAAAAGGGAGCGGAGTAGTCTGGGTGACAAATGACATGCGTCCTGGGGCTCGAGGTGAGTGGCCCTCGAGCCCCATGCAGACAGGCTCCAGGAGAGTCCGTGGTGGTGTCCTGGCTTATGATGGGATCCTGGACGGTGACATTTTACAGGTTCTGAACAGGTTGGTGGCTTTAAGTTACTCATTTCTACCAAAAAATTTTTCAAAAGGGAGTCCTCAGGTTGGGTGCTCAGGGGAAAGTTGTCACTGTGCACAATGAATTGTGATTTTAAAAAGCATGTTGACTTTCTTAGAAATTTAAGTGTGCTTGGGAATTTCTTAAATTTTGTGCAATAAACTATTTTTTGTTAAAGATTGTTGTATTTCAGTGGGGCCTTCATTTTAATGTGTGTGTTTTGTCATATTTGGGAGTAACTTTTATCTCATGTTGTTACAAATTTTGTTCAAATGCTTGCCTTAAAAGAATTTTATTGTTCAGCCAAAGTTTCATACAGCTTTGGAGTCGTAATGTGTGGTTGGCCTTGACAGTAGCATCTCACAGGTATCTCTTCCTGGGAGCCCACCCTTCACTTGCTGCCATATGCAAGTACCAGGAGCTAAAGCAGCTATGGGAACACAGGGATGTACTGCTGAGGCAACCTGGAGAAAAGGAGGCAGTGGCCTGGAGGCCAGAGATGTGCATCCTCACCCACTACCTCTGTGGGAGGGTCCTCAGCCAGTCTGAAAATGTCCTAGACGTAGCTCTGAACATAGCCCTGGACATGCCCTAGACACAGCGCTTGAGCAGCCTCACCGCAGCCCTGGACACAGGATACTGTGCTCATGGCCATAGCAGTTGGGCAGTAATCTCAGTCTTGATTTTGTAGTTCTCCAGTTTCACCTGTCTTTTCAAACATCAGGCCAGATAATACAGATTTTCCAGTTAAGTGTTATCATTAGTAACCAGCATGGTAAAAAGCATACAGAAAAAGGGAAGTAAACCAGTGATCACAGAATGTGATTCTGTAGTTGGATTTGCACATTTTTTCCTATGACTCCACTTTATTAGCTTCTGGTAATCAAGGATCAAGTAATACATTTACTACACAGATATAAATGAAAATTAGATCTGACCATCTCCTTTTATGACCTTAACTTCCTGAAATATTGAGGATGCAATGCAGTTTTTCTCCTCAATAATTACGAAGGGACTGGTTAAATGTACCTGAACTTTTTATTTTTACCTATAAAGTGGCTTAGAGGGCTGACAATATTGGCAGGAATGTGCATTCAGTGTAGGATCAAGGATTTACCACTAATGGGATGTTCTGTATTTAAAAAGTAGTTCACAAAGAAATCTCAGACTTCATGCAAATTATGTGAGATGCGTAAATAGGATTCATTCCACCATTGCCATCCAGATCAGTGGATAAACACAATAGCTATCAGAAGAGTGGTCAAGCATTTCCTAGATGAATTCTCAGCAATCAATAAGTTCTAATACTGGAAGCAGCATTTATTGGAATTCTGCTTGACTTTATGCATGTTTTCACTTAATGAGTGTTGCAGATTCTGGTAAAACGTACTTGGCAACAACTTTTCCTGGAAACGGGGGATATTAAACTGTTCCTGGTGCCTTTATTTGCCTGTTTGGTGTGCAGTGGATCTCCTGTGCAAGCCCTTGTCTCCAGGCTAAGGTGGCGCCTCCCGGAGCTTGGGGAGCTTGAGGTGGAGAGCTCACATCCCTCCAGAACACATGCTTCAGGGCCAGTTGGAAGTGTGTGTATCCAGCAGCATGTAGGGAGAGAGTGGGTGGCAGCTTCAGGAAACACCTGGAGGTTCTGATCTACTCAGCTCTCCACTTAGCGGGGAATTGCTGGAGGAAATGAACTGCAGGCTTTTTACATACAATCTGGTCAGAACTCCACAGAGGGATAGATAATACCTGGCTGATAAAGTGTCTCACAGGACTTTAATTTTATGAACCTTAAATGAGCTTTAATGTGCATTTCTAAATGCTTGATAGATGTTTTGAAATGCTTTCCCAGTACTTAAACCTCAGTGTGTCAAAAGCTAAATAGCTCACCTTCATCCAGAAACAGTACTTTGATTAACTTCTCTGTGCTAGTGACACGGTTACTCAGGCCATCCATGACATCCTTGTCCCAGCCCACACCCACAGCTCCCTGCCTCTCCTTTCTCTCCTTCTCCTTTCTCTGCATCAGCTTACAACCCAGCTTAGCTATGGAGCTAGCCCTGTAATGGTCTGCTGGCCTTCAGAACTATCCTGCCACTCCTGTCTGAAGGACACATTTGCTCATTGATTCTAGTGGCCCACCGACCCTGCAGGATCACTTGAGTGCACACAGCTTGGCTTTCAAACCCACTACCCTCTGGCCCTAATCAGCCTCTCCAGCTTTACTTCTTAGCTCATTCAGCATTTATTAAGTAGTAAGCACTAGTTCCTTCTTCCAGGTATTCCTCTTCCTCTGCCTCCCAGGGAGATGGCAGATACACATTGTTGAGCAGGAAGCTCAGCTCAAGCCAGTGAGATGGTGCCACAGGCTGTGTCCTTTCTGGGCCAGAGCATTGACTGGCTCCAATGAAACCCCCCACTATGGCCATAGTACTACGGCGGCCAGCATGGGTGGAAGTAAGAGCAAGAAATTAGCCTTGTTCTTTGCAGCCTCTGGAGACTTCAGGATTATTTGTTACTGCAACATGACCCAGCCTCACCTGACCAGTGTAAGCACGGGCCTTGCTGGACATCTCGCTGGCTTTCCTTGCCCTGTGCTGCCTCTGCCTGGCTTTCACTCACTGAGTAGATGTCAATGCCTGTGGCTGTCAAGCTTTATATCCAGAGCTGCTTATAAACCAGCTCTCCATGGGGAAGAAGCCTGATAAGTAGGATTTGGTGATTTCTTAGGTGTAGATGCCACACAAGGGCAGATCTGAAGCCCCCAACATGAAGTGTTGGAACCAGGAAGGAGTGTGGCTATCACAGGTAGGAGACTCCCACACATGGCTGGCGTCCTCTAGCAATGAGACAGCAGGAAACAGACCTAGCTCAGTTGCTCTCTCCTTTACAAAACCTTCCCTGACCCCCAACTCAAAATGTTCCTTCCCTTTATATATATGGAACTAAGTTTATACCATTTTGCGTTGTATTTTTTCAGAGCTATTTTACTGGAACTACCGTGAGTATGTAAAGCAGGGGGTGGAGTGCTATGTCTTTTTATTATAGTTATTTCTGGAGAGTCCTTATTTTTTTTTATTAAGGTATTATTGATATACACTTTTTTGAAGGTTTCACATGAAAAACAATGTGGTGACTACCTTTACCCATATTCTCAAGTCCCCCCCCATACCCCAATGCAGGTACTAGTCCATCAGTGTAGTAAGATGCCACAGATTCACTATTTGCCTTCTCTGTGCTACACTGTTTTCCCCATAATCCTCTACCCCATGTGTACTAAACATAATACCCCTCAATCACCTTCTCCCTCCCTCCCGGCCTTCCTCCCCCATCCCTCCCTTTGGTAACCGCTAGCCCCTTCTTGGAGTCTCTGAGTCTGCTGCTATTTTGTTCCTTTAGTTTTGCTTCATTGTTATACTCCACAAATGACAGAAGTCATTTGGCACTTGTCTTTCTCTGCCTGACTTATTTCACTGAGCATATAACATCCTCCAGCTCCAACCATGTTGTTGCAAATGATAGGATTTGTTTCTTTCTTATGGCTGAATAGTATTCCATTCTGTATATGTACCACCTCATCTTTATCCATTCATCTACTGATGTACACTTAGGTTGCTTCCATATATCTTGGCTATTGTAAATAGTGCTGCAGTAAACATAGGGGTGCATATGTCTTTTGGAATCTGAGAAGTTGTATTCTTTGGGTAAATTCCAAGGAGTGGGATTCCCGGGTCAAATGGTATTTCTATTTTTAGTTTTTTGAGGAACCTCCATACTGCTTTCCACAGTGGTTAAACTAGCTTACATTCCAACCAGCAATGTAGGAGGGCTCCCCTTTCTCCACAACCTTGCCATCATTTGTTGTTTGTCTTTTGGATGATGGCAGTCCTTACTGGTGTGAGGTGATATCTCATTGTGGTTTTAATTTGCATTTCCCTGATGATTAGTGCTGTGGAGCATCTTTTCATGTGTCTGTTGGCAATCTGAATTTCTTCTTTGGAGAACTGTCTCTTCATATCCTCTAACCATTTTTTAATCAGGTTATCTGCTTTTTGGGTGTTGAGGCATGTGAGTTCTTTATATATTGTGGATGTTAACCCCTTGTCGGGTATGTCATCTACAAATATATTCTCCCGTACCGTAGGATGCGTTTTTGTTCTGTTGATGGTATCCTTTGACATATAGAAACTTTTTAGTTTGATGTAGTCCCATGTGTTCATTTTTGCTTTTGTTTCCCTTGTTCAAGGAGATGCGTTCAGGAATAAGTTGCTCATGCTTATATTCAGGAGATTTTTGCCTATGCTGTCTTCTAAGAGTTTTATGGTTTCATGACTTATATTCAGGTCTTTGATCCATTCCGAGTTTACTTATGTGTATGGGGTTTAACAATAATCCAGTTTCACTCTCTTGCATGTAACTGTCCAGTTTTGCCAACACTACCTGTTGAAGAGGCTGTCATTTCCCCATTGTATGTCCATGGGACCTTTATCATATATTAATTGACCATATATGGTTGGGTTTATGTCTGGGCTCTCTAGTCTGTTCCACTGGTCTATGGGTCTGTTCTTGTGCCAGTACCAAATTGTCTTGATTACTGTGGCTTTGTAGTAGAGCTTGAATTTGGCGAGTATAATCCCCCCAGCTTTATTCTTCCTTCTCAGAATTGCTTTGGCTATTTGGGGTCTTTTGTGGTTCCATATGAGTTTTAGAAAGATTTCATTGAAGAATGCTGTTGGTATTTTGATAAGGATTGCATTGAATCTGTAGATTGCTTTAGGCAGGATGGCCATTTTGACAATATTAATTCTTCCTATCCATGAGTATGGGATGTATTTCCATTTATTGGTATCTTCTTTAATTTCTCTCATGAGTGTCTTGTAGTTTTCAGAGTATAGGTCTTTCACTTCCTTTGTTAGATTTATTTCTAGGTATTTTTTTCTTTTTGATACAACTTTGAATGGAATTGTTTTCCTAATTTCTCTTTCTGCTAGTTCATTGTTAGTGTATAGGAATGTCACAGATTTCTGCGTGTTAATTTTGTATCCTGCAACTTTGCTGAATTCATATATTAGATCTAGTCATTTTGGAGTGGAGTATTTAGGGTTTTTTATGTACAATATCATTTCATCTGCAAACAGGGACAGTTAAACTTCTTCCTTGCCAATCTGGATGCCTTT